TCGGCATCGACGAGACCGCGCTTGAGCACATGAGCGCCAACATCAGCGTCGACATTGGCGAGCTTGGCAACGTCGGCCTTAGCGGCAACATCAGCGTCGATGAGGTCGCGCTTCTGGGTGGTGAGCTTCTTCAGCTCAGACTCGACCTTCTCGAGCTCTGCAGTCTTTGTTAGTATCATTCCATCTCCCAATCGTAGTTCGGCATCAACGGTGTACATACGAGAAACAAGCTTGGCGACATCAGCCTCAGAACCGGCGCCGGAGAGGAGGCCCTGGACATCACCAGTGACCTGGTGAACCTCGGCGAGGGCAGCGTTGACGTTGGGGATAGCAGCACCGGTCACGGCGGTGACGACGGCGGCCATGGCAGCGATTCCAGCGAACTTCATTTTGATAGATGGATTGGAAGGGTATAAAAGATTAGAAAAGGAGTAAACCGTAAAAAGTTGGATTAGCTAGAAGCTTAGAATAAAGAATGAATAACTGCGAAAAGCAGGGTGGGTTTGAAGAAAGAACGACTGGAGTGAAAGACTGGCTGACTGGCGTGAAGAAAAGGAAGAGCGAGAGAAGAGCACCCCGAGGCTGGTTTATATACTCGAAGAGCTCACGGTCTTCCCCCCTCCTGGCGCTCGCATTCGCATCTCGTTGTCGGATGGAAGTGCAGATCACGAAGGTCGAGAGATTGAGCAAAGAATCCACTAGTAGTCGGCAAGTCGGGAATAGATAATAATAGTAAGCCGTTAATATGAACGGAGCTTGAAAACCGGGATCCCGATGGAGAATCCAGTGGACCTAGTGTATATCGGGGTTATCCACTTACACTTCTTAGCGAGGTACTAGATCGGCGGATGCCATTATCCGGTGATATAGAGCCAATTAGGGCGCGCTTTCTGGCCCAGCACCTGTTAGCGGTTTTGAATTTATTGCACGTTGACGCACTATTGAATTTCCAAGACATACAGAGTACAGAGTACAGATGACAGAATACAGAGTACGGAGAACTACCCAAAGCTTACTCCTATCACAACGACCTCATGCTTTTTATTCATCCGGACTCTCCGCCTCACCATTCCGGATGAACATGTGAGTCTCCAATCGGAACATTAAAAATAGCAATCACTCTCGGTGGGTTCCCGTCTCCGCCACCTCCGCCTGTGTGGATGCTAGAAACGGGAATTTCCTGGGCCCGAAGTGCTTGCTATACAGAGTATCCATAATAATGCTTCGGCTGCGGAACTAGCGGAATTAGAAAAGGGGGAGGGAACAAGAATCCGGTTAAGGTTATCGCAGTTATGCGAACCGGTTGGAACAAAGGCCATTTAACAAAGTCCGCCGCCGCTAACTACCTTTCCATAGTACGAGGCACGGTACATTTATTGACAACAGTACGGACTAGGAAATATTGACTACGGGACTACTCCGTACAGAGCATTAGTAGTACTCCATACGCGTGCAGAAAATGATTGATTATTCGCGCTAAATACTGCCAAGCTGGACATTGCTCCTTGATGGTGGATATGTAGCCTCGTGGGTCAGCTCGGTTGGATGTGTTTTTCTTGTTCTATCCGCAAGGTTCTCCGGAAGAGGAAGTAGTAAAACAGAATACCATAAACCTTATTGCGTATTGGATAAGAGCCGTACCGAGTAATGCATTAGCTTAGACTAATTACCCGACGATTCCGCGACGCCCAATATGAGTCTATGTATCCTGTCAAAGAGTCATCTTCAATAAATCAATATCGAGACGCCATGTAATTTCAAGATGATCCCAGTAGGGCAGCGAACTTTCATCGAACGATGTCCTGAGTTCATTAGATCGCCAGATCTGATGCTAGTCCTTGTTCGTTCGACACTCGGATCGACGGCGTTAGTGAACTTTGACATCTTTGTCATTGTCACAGGCTTTCCTAAGCAACTGTAACAGCCGAATCATGGTTCGTAATGTCAGCCTTTGTTATGTTGGCGTAAAGGTTGGTCGGCGTCTGCCCTCTTGGGCTCGGCGCGAACGGGACATATTCCGTCTATGCCACATATCGTCAAACTTGCACATTGCCACCGCGGGATTCTAGGAGTGCATAAGTTTTCATTATGATTCAGTCCGACACCTGCGTTATGCTTGAATATCCCGGAACGATTCCCCCTTTTCTTTATGCGAGAACGAAACACGCAGTCTCATCGAATCCCATCGTCTAGAAGTACGAATAGCCAGGTCCACAACTATTCCCTCTGCCAGTCAGACAGAGCGGCTCTCGAGCAAATATATCGCACTTAGCTTGCTGCAAGGTCCCACTGTGCTCTGCTCCTTCGTTCTGCATTAGTCTATGTCATCAGAGACCCCAGCCAATAACTAGTTAGCCATGGACTTCAGCCTGGTGGCACTTAGCAGACCGTGAAATTCCTCTTCGTACTTGACAAACTCCAGGGACCGACTCTAATAGTGTCGCACATTCCATTTTCGCAGGTCAGCTCGTGAAGCCTGCAGCGCTCATCCGTATGCTCTCTCTTGTCACCAGAACCGTCCGCCCAAAGTCATACCGGTAAGAATCGTTCAGCTTGTACAAACCCCTGGATGGCTCAGCTTTCACATATGTACGTAGTCTTTCCTTGCAAGCGTTTTCGATGGCTTTTGATAGCTCGCGCCCGTGATTGTAGTTGGATTACCTCGCCAACTGCAGGTTTGCGCTCATCCGCCACTGTAGCACTGGCGTATTCCTGGAAATGGCATAGTTCATACAGAGAGACAAATTGATATGGGCGTAGTCAACGAATTTGACGATCAGAAGTTTGCCCTCTTCCCAGCGGCGGCAATGAAAGTGTTGGCATTTTTGTCAGCTGCACATTGCCTTCTTCCCTGCTCTAAGCAAACCAGTAGAATTCATAGCCTTTCGGTCCCATTCTCACGAGATGCAAATGTCCGAACCGGTATGATCTTCGATTTGACGAGTTTCTAATACATAATTATTTTGAATGCTCTCCCTATCCACCAGTTCGGTATCGACCACTCAACGAAGTGAACATCTTTTGAAAGTGGAACAGTACTTTTGCTAGTGGCGAGATTGGCGGGAGCTCGTCAAGCTTGCGCAATCCTCTGGTACCGACCCTCCAGTGCCTTCAGTTCATGTCCCTTAGACAAGCTTGTATGGAAAAGGGCCTTGGCGAGCGCCTCCATGGCGTGCTATCCGGAAAGGCTGCGAAAATATTCTTCAATGCCAGTCTTTTCTGCTCCTGTCAAATTGTAACCACTTGGTAGGCGTAACTTGATCACTGATAGTATCGAGTTTGCTCTAGAAACCGCTGGATTGATAGTGGTAGTACTGACTGCTATACCGTGATTTGCTGAACCACCACATGATAATAGTTCCGTGTATCTCAATAAAAACTGGTATCGCCAAGTTGCCATATCCAAGAGCTATCTCTCTTTTCTGGGCGCGTGACATGTTTTTTCTCACGTGGGAATTGCATTCCAAGAATGCGACTTCTCCCTCTACGCTTCTTTGCTCGGGGTTTTTATGCTGTCTTGTATCCTATCCATCTCGTAGCACTGTACGGAGTAAAGATTGACGGATTTGTGATTCGTAGATCGACATCCCCAGCCAAATAAAGACAGTCCACCACTTCTGCTGGGATATAGAAACCTTCGGCCTTTGCCGGGCTGATCCTGGCTCACTGTGTCAGGCCGCGGACATTGTGAATGCCTTGTTTGCGGGGAAGTAAGGCTGTCTTCCAGATCCTCGTTCCGGTGGAATGTGGACTGAATGGATTCCTGGCGGGCCGTACCTGAACGTGGTGAATCCATGGTTTCGAGCGACAGTGGAATACTCGGCAGACCAAATATATATTAAGGAACCGAGAAAACAAGCGGGGCCTTTCAGGACTGCTTTCAGGTAATATGGGAATATGTTGGCAAGTTCGATGGGACATGCCCGAAAATATATATGTAACGGACCGGCACGACAAATGGCCCATCATACTCGGATCATATCAACCGCAACCAGTTATTTATCATATGTGGTATTTCTGGTCTTCCTGTACCGCTTCCACCTCAAGACAAGAATGTTGTGGCTGTCTGTTGCAAGACTATTTAGACCACATTGGGCATTTGCACTACCGGAGTCCTGTATAAGCCACTTCCTACATCGAATATCATTCGAAACTCACAGTACGTGGAAAAGTCGCTGCGAACCACGGTGTATTTTCTCCAACGCCTAGTTTTGTGCGAGTCAAACGCATCATAGTCAAGATCGTAAACAATATCCCCGATTCTCCTTCACGAATAGATAACTCGTGACGATTGTCATAACCTGTGACTTTGCATTTATCAGGAGGGTAGTTTTAGTGTTTTGCCACGGCACATCCACAGCTCTGCTATCTTGTCTGACCAAGGTACTGCAACATCGCCCCAGAAGTTGTTCAAAACACTCCACTGAGCAAAGCATGGAAATTGACACCGAAAGACAATCGAATTTGCCGAACCGGGTCTTGCGTTGAGGTACGGGTATATATACGCGACTTCAAGAGGGTGTCCCACCTCTGCAACCGCGCAGATTCTCAAGAGCAGCTCCTCTCCATTGTATCTTGATGCTCTTCTGCAGACTACCAGGATCCTGGTCGACACACCCGTCTCGCAGAAACTTCGGCAAAAATCTACGCCTCCCCTGGACCCTCCCATGCATACCACAAAAGGTCATTGGGGTGCGCCCAGTTGTCGCTGGTATAGCACAGAGGTACGTCTGCATGCAATTGTCCTTCTATGCCTGACGTCTTCAACCTGCTCTTTGAGGTCAGGTGAGACGTCGCTCCTTTTGGCTCGCCCCGCAGACGATCAGATCACCGCTGGTAGATCATCAAGATCACAATTTAGACAGGGGGATCGTCGCATCGTCGCCGGCAAAGTCAAATATAAGAAACATGTCATGGTAGTCCTATGACCGGATGTGGTCAATTCCCTTGTAATCCCACAACCAGATGTCGCGGACTGGGCTGCCATAGCCTGTGTTGAATTCTGGCATCTCTGTCATGGACACTCTATCGCTGACTTTGCCCTCCCTGAGCCAGTGGAATTCAAGCACAAGCTCCATTCCATTATCAGACGGCTCTCCACTGGCTTCAATGCAAACATGGCCTGCCCCCAGTACATATGGACATAGGGGGCCAAGCACATTTGGTTGTCAGTGCGCTCTGTTGCCTTGTCACCAAGAACAAATGCCTCCCATCTCTGGATTCTTTCACTCGACCAGATGGTGGAGAGAGCACTCCAAAGGTTGAGGCTCGGTGTTTCTGCCCTATCATTCAGCGCATACGGGGTAGAAATGCGAAATATCTCTGGCATGTGGCCGTGACGTTTGTAAATGGCAGGGTCTCGTATCGTTTTAGTTCTATTCTGTCATCTTTATCGCAAAATCACCCCAGAAGTTTTCGAAACTTGGCGGTTAAGTCCTTGTCTCTAGCGCGCAAGTCTTTTCAAGTGTTATCAAGTCCATTGCCAAGTCATAAAACTGCACAGTCAGCTCGAGAAAATTCTGATGCGTGTTGATCAAATGTCTCCTCATCAAAACCTTGGAATGGTTCCAATGCAAAAAACACATTTGGGTGGCCGTATGTAATGAGGTCTTATTCGTCTGCTCCCTAGTATGGTATCCTTTTACGCTTGAAACGTTCCACTGAGCAAAATATGGCGACCGACCCCGGAAGACAACCAAGCTTCCTAGTCCGAGTCTTAGATTGAGGTAAGGATACATGTGCGCGATTTCAATAGGGTGTCCCACATCTGTAACCGGTTAATGAATGTTGGAAATGAGAGGTAGAATGTGTTGTCCATCTCACATCATGTGCTCCCGCGAGGGCTCCTCGAGGAATTGCCATTCGGCGAAGGTGCTAAAACAAGACACCCATAAGCGGACATGTGGGTCAGGCTATGGCAAGGAAAGGCATTGACGATACTATTGTATTTGTAGCTGTCTAGCTGGATGAGGGTGGATCTCCTCTATCCGGCATATGTGTGTGGGCTCGCTAGTGCGGGCCAACCAGGAGCGGGGCATATTGGAGCCCGAGGCCCTCCAACAGGACATGGTATCCATCGGCGGTGGTCTTATGGGAGTGGATTAGGATATACCTATTCGTGGAGCTCTTACAGCCTCCATGGGCGGTTCCACACTCCAGCTCCCAGACAAGAGAAACGGCCTTGGGGTCGACGTCTGTCTGGTAAGTGTACCTGTAGTTTAGTAATTGGCAAGGGCCAATTGAAAAGATTTGTCCATGTTGAGCTCAATTCTGGCGTGGCATGATGGTCCAATAAGATCGCGAATTGGCACTTACACAAAGTAGTACACTCTGCCTTTGCTAATTCTTTAGTAGCTGCCGTACAAGTACACGACTAACATAATTAGCAGCCACAGCAAGTCAAGGCGCTTATCGAGCCGTTGGAGATTGAGAGGGGATCCGTTCGGTGTACAGGATACCTTGCATTGCTCTGTTTGCTTCCAGCGCAGTTCTTCCAAAGCCATGCGTTGCAGCTTATTGGTTCGGCCACAGTTCAAGATCGTGAAGATGGACAGGGCAGTACTCGATCGGTCCAGATACCATTGGAGTGGTCTCTGTAGGTTTGAGTGCGGCGGCAGGATGCACCACCTCATCCGCCAGTTTCCGCCTATATGATGAGAGAGATATTAGACGCCTGGCGCAATCGCATCACACATTTCAACCATTGAAACTCAAACTTGGATAGGTGTCTAGATTAAATCATGTTAGTCTTGAGATCAGCCATGTCAAGGTGAGTTATTGAATCGCATACTGTGTATCTCCAAAACGCAGGAGATTGCAATGGGCATCGCGCGTCTTTAAAGACAGTGCGTCATACCACATGCCCTCCCTAAGTCGCCGCTTTGATCACGGCTCGAGGAAGCCAAGGAAGCACATTCAGCTGGTGTTTGCATATTCCCAAAGTCCCTGAACCGCATAATACCAGGACATGTACCAAAGGATCCACCATATCGGTAAAATATAGGTCGAAATTGTTTGAGACGGAACATGACTAACGCTTGAAACTGCGCGCTCAAGCAGTGCGTCTTCGTATTTTGCCGTTTTCTATATAACGACTTCACAGCGCCGCTCAATACCATGCATGCTGTTTGCACACTTAGTTGAATGTGAGACTTCCCTGAGACCAAATATCGTCAGCAGCTATCACAAACTATCTGGGATACCGGTAAAATACAGGTTTCCGACATTCTAGCCACTCGAATCCCTACCAATAAGACTGGACTCAAGGTTCATTCGGGCCACCAGCTCCGTGCAACCAAGGCCTTTGACTGTCCTGATATTGATCGATTATGGAATGGCTTGAGTCCTCCGTCAGCGATAAAAAGAATCTGTGTGAGAATAAGTTCGTTATCACACATTAGTTCCAAGGTTTCAAGATCTGGTCTCGTGTTCGAAGGCCAGTTTGCCAGACGATCTCAAGAACAATGGTGGTTATGCTTGCATGTGATCTGTGTGTCCATGAGTTTCGCCCTGCTGTTTTCTTTTGCGCCCTCAATATATGGAACAGCCGAGGCTCGCTACACAACGAGCCATTGGATGAGTCACATCACAGTTGCTTGTAGACTATTAGTTAAGATAAAACTATCGGAAACGGCTGTTCAATGGACTCACACTAGATAGCCAAGCAGGAGATGTCGAATGCATTATCGGGATTGGACACTCAAGACGCCTGCTAAGCCTTCGAAGAATCTTTCGCTGAACAGGGACCATCTGAGGTCCAAGCCAGGTCAGGTTCATAGCTGCAAATAGACATCTTGCTGGTCGAAGAGCTTCCATGTCCCAGTCCTCATTGTTATAAGTAATGTTCTATCGACGATCAAGTCCATGATCCGTAGAATATCACTGACAAGTTCTCTAATCTTACCGCAACGAAGTCCTGGCTCTGGCTCTGCCAGGGCTCAAAGCCTCTATCGTTCATTCTGAGATTTGATGGAGATGGTTGACGACCTCGCTCGCACATTTTGTTTCTGGTGTCCGAATCCTTGCGACTATTTATTTCGGAGCTTAGTACTCTCCGTTTCTGTTGAACTGGTGGACTCGATCAACACTCTCGGCATTGATAAAATCGCACGCTTGCTTGTTTCATGTAGGAGGAAGCAGTCGACTGACCGAATCCTTCCTTCGCAAATCCATGAGTCTTGAGCCCACACCAAGACCACACAACCAAGTTGCTCGATCAAAGAGCAGTCAGTGGGACGCTGTTTTAGTGTGACTGGCTTTTCGAACGCGACGTTACTGGTGGTGGTAATTGTATCTCGACTGGTCAAGCACATCGTATAGTAATCTTGTTTGGTACCAAAAATTACCAGACGGAACCAACCATAGGCACAACAAAAGCCAGCTGCTCAAGCCCATCGTATTGTCTCCGGGTGCGTTGGGCATCTGCTTTGTCCCCAATCCTCTTTTTATTGTCAGCTTGCCTACGCATAATCCCGAATACCGGTCGAGCGCGGCTGTTTGACCAGTCGAAGGAGACTTTCGTAGGGGTTTCATGTCCGATTTATAGCCTGCAGATGTGCGCGATGATGGCTCTTCCGTAGCCCTTCGATTCGTCAGACTGAAAAGCGGGCTCATTCCACTGTTATTTTGATGGCGCCAATCAACGAAATTTGCCCTCAATCCAGTTTGAACGGTGGATATGAACAGCTCCCAGAACACCGTTGCAAACACCGGCACATCGCAAAGGCAAATCATGGATGTCTTTGTTCTTGATCTAGACGAACTCAAAGAGCTCGGAAAGCCCCCCCCCCCCAAAAGCCACATAGCCTTGAAAACAATTAGGCTAGCATCCAAAAACATGTGGTCTCCCTGTCCAATTAACATACCGTGCGGACAATTCACTTCTGGCTGTCTGGGATTGATTCAGTGTGCTCGGAACGCCGTTGATTGCTCGGCCATACAGCTTGATTAACACCCACATAGAACAGATAGATGTGTTTCTGCTTGCTGGTTGGCAGGCTAAGAATTGCATCTTGACGACTCGGGACTCTGCGAGAAAGGCCAGGATAAATCGATAATGCCCATGCATGAAAGAACCGAGCTGTCACGGGAGCTATCACTCCATTTGATGCCCGATATGTGGACTGCAAAGGTGTGCGATTGTGGGTTTGGATTTCCTGTCATTTCGACAATTTATGTGTCCGAGCCGAAGGTGCATGCGGAATTTGACATTGTAAGAAATAATCAGTAGTGCTGGTCATCCCGACCTCTTACCACAAGCACGAACTTGAGCTCGGCTCTCCATTTCCCCAACTGTCGCCTCTTCAATTGCAGTAGACGGTCTACGTGATTTACACAAGACTTCGCTTGCATGGCGAGTCCTGCCTCACAGAAGCGACGACAGCTCCAGAAAGCCAGAAACAACTCATTCTGACGGAACGCTGAACGTGCTAAGTTGGGAAAGTCATCATGGGCGATTCCTGTAGATTAGCAAACCAAAGGAAAACACTCTCATCAGTGTGGCGTCCTCCTTCAATTACTGTTGGTGAACAGTCAACCGCCGTGTCTGGCTGGATCACTGTGACACAAACAGCTGGCTGGAGGGAAGTTAACTTTTACCAGCGTATATATTTTGGACGGTGGTAGGTCTCACCGTTAATATGGTAGTAGACGCAACAGTCTGTCCTGTAAACTTATCCTTTAATCCACAAATGACATTCCTCATGTCGCTGAGGCCGTAGAGCGAGGCGAACAATCTCTAACTCATAGATAGGTTTGTCTTTGCCCCGGTGCGGCGATGACGGAAGGCCAGGAAGCAAGAAACCATTCCTTGGTTGGTAAGATTCCACATCACAAGTTAGTATCATCTAAAGCAGTATGGTGGCTGTCCGTATATCCGCAAGCCAAGCCGGAAAGGCCCTTCTACCCATATGCCTTTCATATCCGATTAGTACAGCGGAAACCGAATTCGGGTATGGAGCCGTTCTGTCGATTTATCAAGCAATGTTGAATCTCCGATTCCTGGCTTTCTGGCTTGTGTATGGACTTGGCCAGTCGATGGCCGCAAAAGATTATATTCCGTTGATCGGTGCTAGTGACGCTGACCTATCAACATCTCACCATGTGCATGGATGTCGTGCAACTTGCAAATCGATTTATATAATCGTTCCAGAATCTCGTATATCGAACACACCAAACGAGTCACCGCAATCCACTGGCCCCGGTATCGTCTGTTATGCTCATATCGGATGGCATTTGCAGGCCGTGGCTTCGTTTTCTGGCACAAATTCCAGCTAAGTAGTCAGCATGATAATTTGCGGAACATCGAAGCAGTGAGCATGCCTTACTGCTTGATAGTTATCGGGGATATAAATTGCCGTCGGGAGGGGAGTCCACTCTTCCCAGCGTACTCCGTACATTTCTCTTAATGCGGTAAGCTTCACCTTTTATATGGGCGGACGTGGTGCTCTTCCGTGAAAGATTGTCCTCGAGACCACATATGGCCTCCCTCGCATCACCGATGCTATCACATGGAAGCAACCACACCTCCAGGGAGCCAAAAAATCGAAGCGACATGATGTCGCAAAACAACGGACACAGCAAGTCAACGCCAGGAACAAACAGCAGGCACTTCTAGGAGACCCATAAGACGTGGAAAACCGTGTGGGTGTGGTCTTTCTATCCAATTATCACCGTAGAAACCGAATTCTGTGATCCAACCGTTCCAAGTATTGTGCCCATGTACTCTGGGGCGCTTAATATGTGGCTTTTGTAAACACTTCAAGGCGGTCCAACTCGCAAATAAAACCCACCCAACAACCGCAATGTCCGTATCCCCATGGGGCCTTGTCCGCTTAGACCCGACGACAAGTTGTCGATTGCCATGAGCGCTTTGCTTTCTGGGACAGAAACTCGATGGTGTTTATGATCGACTTCTATACTTAGCAAAGCAGTCAGCGCCAACTATTAGATGTGGAGGATTAGAACGATGAGCGTTTCTTACTGCTCGATAGCATCAAGACGAACAACTGAGAGGTGGAATAATCCACTTTTTTTTCCAGCGTATGTTTCTCGGACTGTAGTAACGTTCCCCAATCTGGCTGACTTGTCGGCCTGTCGTTCGATCCACATAATACATTGCTCGCAACATTGATACTATCACAGCAGCAACGACGGCTCCACTGACCGGACAGCCAGAAACAACTCCTTTCTCGGGGAGTATTCTTCAAGTTACTTCCAGGTCACAGAATGCTTGATAAAATCATTCCACAGACTGGTATATGGTGTATATATTGTACTGCGATTCACGGAGACACGTATCTCTGAGTGCCCTTTTGGTTGGGTGAGAGTTCCATTTGCTTGGATACACTCTTCGGCCACGACGAGAGCTTAGCACGCTGGATGAAACAATTCCTGTGCATTTATTTGTGCTGTTGTGACGACTATGCGACCCAGCCACTGTGACGATCTAGTTCCAGTGGACGTCCGTTAGTGTCCTGGTCCTTCGATATTTGCATGATCGGGCCCTGCAATTCCTGGGCAGGCTAACTCCGGGGTGCTGACTTTGGATGTTCTATGAGAACCAGCATCGAGGAGTTAGCGTCTCGATCTGTATTTGTAGATTAGATCAGGAGTATCTGGGATGTTACTTACATTTTCAGGGATTAAAATATATATATATATACCACTGATAGGAGAGGAACGCAGTTCTTCCAGCTCGTTTACTTCTGGCCTGGCATGGTCGAAGGCCTGCGGTATATATAATGTTGCTGTCTCATCGTGGATCGACTATACAGTTCCATATTGTCAAGCTCGTAGCACAGGATATTCATATAGGTCTTTTGGGTGCCATATCATAGTGCGCTCATATAGACGCCATACTAGAGTAGAGATGGATGAGGTAGGTTGTAGAGTGGAGAGAAGCAACAAAAACCCATTCTAGACAGACATCTGCAGTGCCATGCAGAAATGATCTTCCATGCAGGGCTACAAACAGTGAATGAAGATATGCCTTTCTGCATGGTCTTTATTTGCTTTATTCACTTCATGCAGATGTTTTTCCCGTAATAGGTGTAGTGCAGTAGTTGGTATGTCCTGTACTGTGACTATGTACATCAACTATACATATTTTGGATGTGACAGAGTAGCATGACATTTTGTAGCTGCACATTTAGGGATATAGCTGCATACGCCACGCGTCATCCATTCCAGGACACCTGCATTACAGTAGCTAGATGTACGTGGCAGACCTACACGACAGAGTACACGGGTTATGCAGAATCAAATCCCGAATACCAAACCAATAATATATCTTCAAAAAGCACGTGTATTGTATTGTGTCATATGAGCAAACCGCCAGCTATGCAAGTCAAACCAAACCAAACGCCATGCAATATACAACAAAAGAAAGAGCAAACAAAGAGTGAATCGAATGTAAAGTTAACTCCCCTTCGCCTTCTCCCTCTTCAAATCCAACTCCTCTGGATTAACCGTACTCAACGCCTTAATCAACCTGACGCCTGCGTCTGCGGTTTCGCGCTGCGTCCAAGACCAGAACTGCGCTTCGCGCTCTGAACTGTACAGAATGCCGTGGTCGGTTTCTTCAGTACACACGGATTCACCGCTGCTTCCTTCGCCGTCGTCGGTTGTAGAGCTGTAGACGTTTACGCGCTCGTTGAAGCGGACCTTGGGCTTTATGCGGGTGGATCGGGACGGGGAGGATGAGGATGAGGGGGAGGAGCGGTCGGAGGTGGCATTGAAGGCTTCGAGGTAGCCCTTGCGGACGCGGAAGCGGTTTGCGGCTTGTAGGCGGAGGGTGCTGGACCAGAGTTTCTCGAGGCCGACACGGACGGCGAAGTGGGCGGCTAGGTAGGTCTGTTCGGCGATGAGGATTGTTAGGAGGAGGTAGGAGAAGCGGACATTTTGCATGCCGTTGCGGTAGAGGTAGACGATGGCTGCTGTGGAGAGAGTGCCGAGCCAGGTGAGGAATTCGAGGCCTTGGAGGGAGGGGCCGATGGAGTCTGCGCGGATTGGGGGTGGGCGTTGGCATTCGAGGCTTAGTTTGAAGAAGTCGCCGCGTAGTTCGAGCCAGTTGTTTAGGAGGAAGCCGAGGGGGACGAGGGGCCATGCGACTCCGAAGAGTGCTAGGTAGCCGAATTGTATGCACATTTCGAGAATGTCGTCGTGTACGTTGTACTCGTCCGCTTCGGACTCGTTGCGGATTCGGTTCAGGAGTGCCTGCTCGTCGGAAGGATCGATAAGCAGCATGTCAGTCATGGTGGAGTGACTGCGATGGCGGTTCATCTTGGATCGTTTGAGCTTGTATTCGCGCCATTTTTGCAATGCCATACGCTTGACGAACGGAAGAACAATCTCTTCACCAAAGTTGACGACCTGCGCGGTCATGGAGAGAGAAATGACTTCCTGCTGAAGTCGGGAGGTATCGACACTGATTTCCGCACCAACGCCTTGCTTGAGACCAGTCATGCGAAGGACGTCCAAATATGGCACAATCTTGGGTCCGAACGGAACGTAGACAAACGCAGTCAGGATGGTGGGCAGGAAGTCGGTGATGAAGTTCATGACGAATGTTTTCTGCGTCTGGGCCAGATCGTATTGATCTTGGGTGCGGTAGTTTTCGTATTCGGTTAGCTGCGATGCAATGTGGGTAAGTAAGTTGGTGATGGCGGGCAATGTGAGCGAAAACAGGACGGTCGGTAGGAATTCGAGGTACATCTTGAGCGATCCGTGGTAGACGTCAGAGATGAACACTTCCATAGCAAAGGTGATGACGATCAAACTTCCCAAGGCGACGGCTGCCGACGAAGCAAACGGTATAAGGAGCAGCTGTCGAAGGAACTGCTTTCGCGAGGAAAAGACCTTGTTGACCTGGCCTGTGATCGGGTCCGTGACTTCCTTGTCCCAGACGTATTGTTTGCGGTTGACCTTGAGCGTCCCAACATCTTTGACGTTCCACCGCATACTCAGGTCGAGCTCACGGATCTTCCAAAACTCGACAAAAACAATACACCATAGACAGTTGACAACGGCGAATGTAATCGAATACGGCCCAAAGTAGTACCAGCAAAACACACCCCAAGCAGCCGGAAACACGAGAAAGCACGAATAGCAGTGGATAAAGGCGAAATAGAAAGCGACCTTTTCTCCGAACAAAGCCCGGATGGCATCCAAGTCCTCCGCGGTCAGTGTAGTGGTGCGACTCCATTTGCGCAAGAGTTCTCCGTTGGCAGGTTGGTTATGTAGCGGGAAGGCAGATGCGACATTCTTCCATTTTCCGAATCCTGGCGTTATTCCGGCTCCTCCAAGTGCTTTTTGCCAGGACACGGCGTGGTATACCGATCGGAGTTCTTCGGCGGGGGTTTCGGCGTCGGCAATGGTGTGTTCGTCGCCATAGGGGATTTCGTTGATGACGCAGTGGAGGAAGTCTTTTATTCTGCTCTGGTCAGTATTCTATATACTACCAGAGAAAACAGAAGGAAGAAAATACCTCGACTTGTGGATCATGTTCCCCAGAAGGTCGCGGGGTACCTTGACGCAGACGAGCAACGAGTTACCATGGCCATGGCGGACTTGTGTATAGAGACCAGCTTGGTGGAGGTCGTCGATGAGTTCCTGGAATTCGCGAATTGCCTGTGTGTGTTCTGAGTACGGTCAGCACAGCACTGTAGAATCCCATATATGCGATCGACGTACCAACGTCGTCAAAAACGTAGTGGACAACCCAATCAATGCCGAGGTTGTCGTCCTCGTAACTATCACGTTTGCCAGAAAAGAACGGCATTGGTCTATCCAACTGTACAGGAAGCGGCTCTTGAGGATGGAGAAATTCCTGGTCCTGAGTTGTAGGAAGGATGGTGGAGGGAGGTGATGGCGGAGATGAGGCTGAAACTGAAGGCGGACTGATGGTCCACTGGGGCGCTGAAGTCATTATGCACAGCAAAGGAGCATTTCCTTGCGATGTTGTTTGTTATATGTGCCTCAGATTCCGATAGATTCTTATATATGTACTTATCTATGTATGTGCTATCAAAAGGGGTGTTTCTATAATTATGATCTGTGTTAATCAAGGCATCATCATTGTGTCCAATCAGCATCCACGGTTCGCGCCAGTTCAGCCCTACAGGGCGTATTTGATGAGCCTCATTTTCCAGGACAATTTTTCAAAACACAAAAATTGTATTGAAATTCGGGGATATTGAACATTGGCAACACTCAATTCTTCTTCTCTTGGAAAATTCAACTCCGCAAGAGAAAAAAGCAGAGCTGAACATTGATTATTCATCTGCCAGTTCAGCGCCCCACTCATTAGCCCGATTCGGATATTCGGCAAATGGTTATCGATAGTTCTAGATAAACCACATGATCCTACAGAGTACACTGTTAGGGGCATAGTCACATACAGTACACTACCATAGGAAGGCATACATTTCATACATAAGAGAGGGCAACTGGCGAATCAAAGAAATAAAAGCCCCCGTCACCACAAACAGCACCAGTGGACGGATGATCAGCACGACTATGGTTCGCAGGGTAGCCTTGACAAGACGCCTACAGGTACGGAGTACTGGCTCAGTGTTTCTGTACGGAGTACGGGACAGGGGAATATACATACCAGAGCGACATGATGCATTGCTGCTCTACTATGCCCAACACGCTCCGACTATGCATATATAGACTCACCCCATACATATTTGTACGCCGGAAGATATATACTCCATTTCGACTCCGCTTCCCGATGAGGAATTCTGCTGCCTGTGCCAAGAATGCCAAGCCCCTCCTTGCGAGTTGCGTCATGGGGGGGCGGGGATGTTCCGCCAATCAGGATGATCAAATTCTGCCCTACGGGTGTATAGTACCGGTACAACCGGGGCCGAACCGCTGCAGGCACCACCATTCTTATTACCGTATTAATTACAGGTCTTATACAGAATAGCCAGATGTACTTTTTTCTCTTTTCTAGTGACCATCACTAGCTATTCTACCCGTACTGGATACAACCACAGTCACGAAACATGGCCCGCCGTCTCCTCCCCAGTCACGGTGTGACCCTCGGCCTGAGTGTGTTTCTCTTTACGTTTGCCTTTCTGCCAACCCTGGTTGTACTCTTGGCGGTGATTGTGTTTTTCGTCTTTTTCTATCCACGATTACGCAAGTCGGATTGTAAGTAACTATCCTGGACACATAATTTGAAATAGCTGATTAATCCTCTGATAGAAATACCCCACGAGTCACGAAAGTATCTCCTCGGATTCATACCACTGTACAGCTGTACAGAGTACTATAAATGTCTTATGATTGCTGTTATTCTGATGCCTGCCTGTCAATAAACTTTTGAATCGGATACCGCATCCTTGGCACTAAGCCCTACTCCTCATAGGGCTGATTTAACCTTCACTAACGTATCTATTTCGTCTCACCACTCCCCTTCCTCCGTACCCCGGAATACCCCGGAGTAATTATCACCACGGCATTATGGGTTGAAGTCCAATGTCTATACTATCAAAATGTCCCGCTTCACTCTCTCCTCCCACACCCAACCCGTCGCCTCCGCATCAACCTGGGAGGGCATCCTCCCCGGACTAAACAACCTCCTCGAGAAACCCCCCGAGTCAGCATGGTGGCTGGATATCCGGGATCCCACGGAGGAGGATGTAAACGACGTCGCGGAGGAATTGTCAATTCATCCACTGACGGTGGAGGATATTGTGACCCGTGAACCGAGAGAAAAGGTCGAGGTGTTCCGGAATTATTATCTGATTTCGTTCCAGACGTTGGTGTCGTTCAGTGAGAGGGAAGATGATGTGTATACCAATGGATCCAAGACGCCGTCGTCAGCTGTGTTTTATATCCTGGTGTTTACGAATGGAACCGTGACGTTCTCACCAAGTGGGTGTGGACATGTTCGGCGGGTGAGGGATCGTGTGCGAAGGATTTATGATCCATCTATCCTATCCAGTGACTGGATCTGTTACGCCCTCATGTACGCCCCCTTTTCTTCCATTCCTTGGAGGTCTGCTAACAAACCAGCGACGACATCGTCGACTCCTTCGCCCCCTACATGCAATCCGCCTCGCGCGAATCCGAAGCCATAGAAGACCAAGTCTTCATCGCGCGCGTCGACGATGCCAAATCCCTAATCCCCCGCGTCGACATCCTCCGCAAAAAAATCACACACCTAATCCGCTGCTTAAACGGCAAACTCGACGTCCTCAACGGCTTCGTCAAACGTTGCCAAGCAAAAGACAAACACCCGGTATTCCCAGACGGAGATTTAATCCTCTACCTCGGCGATGTGCAAGACCATTTGATAACGACCATGTCGAATTTGACACATTTCGACGAGATTGTGGGCCGCTCACAAGCAAACTGCCTCGCTCAGCTAAGCGCCACGAATCTGCGATTGAGTTTGAATATTAATGCGGTCATGAGTAAGGTTACGATTTTGGCGACAATTTTCGTGCCGCTGCATCTGGTGACGGGGCTTTTTGGGATGAATGTTGAGGTCCCGGGGCAGGAGGATAAGGGGTTGGCGTGGTTCTTCGGGATTGTGGGTGTTTTTGTGGCGTTTATGATGCTTGCTTGTGGGATGGCGTGGAGATATAAGTTGTTATAGGTTAGTTGGCCGTTCACTGGGTAGAGTCAAAAGTATTCAAGGGTTCGTCTTCGAGCTCAATTTATCTGTTCTTCATTCGTTATCAGCTTCCATCTCCTACAAACTTCTGCACATGGTTCATATATATCTTGAATCTTGAACAACCGTATCATCCAGCTAAACCTTTCGATGCTTTCTATATATTTCGAGAAAGACAATGGATTCTATTCGATTAAGCAGTTGAATAGAATCGCCCATGGACTTTCCATTGCTTAAAGCCAACGTAAGCCATTTCTCCACAAGGCAGGGAAGAAAAGTTTTCCTGAGATATCTGGACAAAGGGCTGAGTGCACTATTTGGGCTTTGCTTCCATTCCGATACTAACTTGAGATACGTGCTCGCTGCAGTCCCAGTGTTTGCAAAAGGTGGATTATCTGCTTGGAAATTGTCGCAACGGACAGTCCAACGTTGCATCGAGTTCTTACGGGAATGGAGACCAGCGATAGTTTTGCCAAGCCTCCCAATCACTATTTGGGTCCCGCAACATCGACCCCTATGCCAGCCTGCTCACTGAAATAAATGGCTAGTCTACAAGATACGTCTTTGGTCATCAGAACACCAAGCTTACCAGTCACCACAATATGCCGGTGATCATGCGCTGTGCAGCGCATGAGAGCACTGTCGTCCCGGGGCTCAGCCCGAGTTCAAGTCATCCTGGGTTTTGGGATTTAGCAGGTGACCTAACTAACGGTATTATCTATACCCATTAAGGAGATGCTGGCCCACCAAAACGGAGCGAACAGTCCATGGGATCACACGACTGGTTACAGGAAGAAACCTGCGACAATCGAGGCTGGAACTCGGTTATCCTGGTCCTGGGCAGCCAGTACTCATTTCTGATATGGCACAAAGAGGGCCACAGCGCTGGTTACGCCGTAGAAATCGCGGAGGATCCTATAGACGTCGCCCAAATATTACTTTTCAGCCTGCACGTGTAACATGAGCGGGGAGGACTGAAGGGCTTTTGGAATGCCCTTGTGTCATTATGACCCCAGAAAGAGTCGCACGATGGAAGGCATGTATCGAAGGGGAGAATGGTGACGTACGTGAAGTACTCCTGGGAATATGAGCGCTATATCTATACGTTAAGAAAAAGCGGATATTTTACAGAGGATATTGATACGCAAGCGTTACGAGCGCTTATTGAGAGACCACTCGAAGTGGCACCCATAACCACCATGCTCGGTGAGTCAAGATGTTAATCCACGAGATCTGGTGTCTGGCTCTAACCAAATATCTACAGATTAGAACGTTGCAAGTCAGTACAATCCACCTGCTGACTATATGCGTGGGACCAAAAGATGCGCTATACAAGCGGGCTAAGGCCAAAGAAGCAATGACAGAGCCTGTGGCTCTATACAGGTATACCTCACCGCGCATTTCAGACTTTACTGGAGCAGGCTTAGAACTCCAATGAGATACACAATGACTGCCGAGACAAATGTCCCTGTTCTTCCAAAAACTTGGAACAGAAAGCGTGATGGTTTTGAATCTATCTATCTTCCAAGAATGTGAAAGTTCCTGTTTCCCAAATGGAAAGATGACCATAACCACCTAAGTTATACACACAGGAATCATGCCCTAGGATGCTGGACAATACACATATCGTACTCTTGAGGCACCTGCACAATCCGGCAGGGCATTGGCCAAGTTCCGTGCCAGAGTTGGAAGAACTTTATCAGTTGTCTTTTGGTCCGAGATGTTTTTGTCAAAGAAGAAGCTTCCTCCAAGACATATTAGACCGGGCAGATATTCGTCCTCCGTCCAAAGCCTTCTGTCCTGGAGTGCAGTTGCCACTGTACAAGCAATGGTTGATTTTCCCGTACCAGCCATTCCCTGAAGCCAGAATACCGGTGGCTCACTTGGCTTGCAGCACCAGTTCTCTATCAGTCGCAAAATTGGAACCTGTGTCCCTTTCAGGCACTGAATTCGACGATCGGATGAATTAAAAGCGGCGCCGTAGATACAGCTAAGCTCGTTCAATATCTGGTTATGCTTGATATCCTGAGTGGGGTTATGGTTAGGAAGAATCGTGAGCTTCGCTCGATGTGAGACATACCTCTGTATTTCCGAGGGCCTTGCTAACCACATCCCATATCTCGTCGTATTTCCGATAGATGCCTTCGAGTGTCTCTTCTGAGACCTTTTTCAAATACTTTCGGGTCTGTCCTTCCAATCCATCAATTGTACCGAGCATCGACTTCCAGTCATCCATAACGGGGAAGTCCCGGAGAAATCGAAGCGCACGTGACCGAAAGTATTGCCTCACAAACATCATTTGATACCGCAGGATCTCAGCATACAACTTGATCATTGTCTGCTCTAGCATCCTGTCAAGGTCTTTGAGCTCGTCTCGTTTGCTCCAGTCCCTGCGGATCTTAGCTACAATGCCATGGGTGAATTAGGACGCATTTTGGAAACCGTACTTCTTAGTGACTTGAGAAGCACAGGCTTGGTTGTACGTATTCTCCAGTACCCGACACCGAATCAGGACTCCTGATATCTACTCGACACCTGCGACAGCATCTTCCCCCTGAGTGATGGGGTTCAGAAACAGCTGGATACTCTTAAACTGTGTCATCAATAGGATGATTGTTTCTGGTCATGCACACTTACGGGAAGTATCACTAGCACTCCAGCCCATGCCAATGCAGCATGGTACTCTGCAGAGATTGCTTGAGAAATTACGTCTTTCACGAATACAATGCCCTTGATCACATGTCGAGCCTGCTTCCATCGTGTATCTTTGATTTCTACAATTCGATCCTGTACGAGATCCTGAAGTTGAATTCCTTGATTCGGGCCCCTTGCTACGGAAGATATCTGGCCATCGGGCTGAGGGTTACCTTCCGTGGCCAGATCAGATTTTAGTCTCGCTTCATACTTCGCGAACAATTCTGGATCCTGGTTCCGGAGGTGATTATGAGCCTTCTCCCACAAGCTCTCCAGGCCCCAGTTATGTCCGGCTTTTGCAGGACTCGATTCTGATGGTATCGGGCTTTTAGTTGGCATGACTCTTGAAGGCGATGGCTCGGAGTCCTCGTCTGCATCTCGGTCACAACAGCTGAGAAGATATCTAAATCTGGTTCGCGTCGGCATATCTGTTCAGAAGCACGAAATTCTCTCTGCGATTTACCAGAGAGTCGACAAGAATTGGATAGGAAGAATAAAAGACATGTAAGGTGTCGACAACTTGCACCAGGGCAGAACGTAACAATAGGACTACGGTGATGGAGTGTCTTCGCAGGCAGGAATAATGTGCGAGAGATAGTTGATTAGTATACTACTCGGAGTTATGTTTTATCCCAATGGGGAGTTTTGGCGTTGAGAAAAAGATATGTTGTGAAATGTGAGCTTTATGTATGTTTGAAGCAAATAGAGATAAGCCATCATTCTATGGTACAGTCAATATTTTGGCCATAGAGCCTCCGCTATTCCTCACGAAGACTGTCCAAAAGAAAACTCAGGGATCTCAATTTTAGTCACAGTCCAAGTCTTGCCATCATCGCTGGTCGTCATCTCTCCAGTGACACCTTCACCCTTTGCCATGGTGTTGATGTAGTTAGAGTCGGCGGTATCCAAAATAATCTTGGTGTTGGTCCACGCTATAGATGCATTAGCCCCATCCCTAACGAAGGAAGTTGAATATCGTTATATTATAAACTTACAGTGAGCACCGACAGTTCCACAGTTGTCTTCAGCGCACTCCACAGAGCTGCCCCAGCCCTGGGCTTTGCCGTCACTAGTAGACAGTGTTGAGACGGCCTTGCCGTTAACCGAAACAGTCTGGGTGTAGTTTCCGCTGTTGTCGTCGAATTTGTCTGCAATAACGTCTAGTGCTCTGGATCACGTCCTCAATGGCCTCAATTACTTACAGTGCATTGTGACCCGATCACTAGCTGAGGCAGTGGAGGAATCTCCCTGTACAGGCATCTGTGTGTTGGCTACAGAAATCATTGGTTCAACGTGCTTCTCATAACAAGTAGAAGAATTGATGTGAGCTAACCTCCAGTACTCAGCAGTGTGTAGGCGTAAACACTCCAATCATCAGATTGCCAGTTGTCGGCAATCGACTGGACCAAATCGCCGTTCGAGGTGCCCATACCGACCCAAAGGGAGGCATCTCCAGAAGATCCGCTGGGTGCCTTGGGAAGGACGAGAGTGGAAGTTGCCTCCCGGATGAAGGTGTCGTCAGAAACAGGTCCGGTGCTAAAAGCAGGGCCCATAGCAGCGTTCACGGACCCGACGGCTAGGGCAGCCATAACAGGGAGGGTCTGAGCAAGAGAAGGCATGGCGATGGAGTAAAGGATCAGGTAGTGCTGGATTTAGATTGTGATTGGCTATGTGGGGGAGCTGTTTAAGTTGTCAAGACTGAGATGGAAAGCACTTTATATACCCCATCTGGCGATTAAGTCCATTATTGGAGTCTGCCATCCCCTACTATGAAGATGAAGAATATAATCCTTACAAAACACAAGTGGTATGATTTATATGATATTTTCCACTGGTTAGTGAGAATTCGATCTAGTCGGAGAGCCGTAGTAGCAATTTGAAACAGCCGAGTAATATATCTACAACACACTAGCCCCACAACCATTTCTAGGCAAATATGTGATCTTCCACGCTATCAATTTGTTAAACAATCATAATATATAACTATAGCTAGCCCCTATGCCTAAGTCTCCGGGGTCGCGCTATAGCAGAACCCCACCACCCCAATGGGCAGGACACCCCAACGGGCCATTACCCAAACTTCTATATAATGTCTATTTATCAACCACAATGTCAAATATGCCTAGTATCTAACTTGAAAATGAAGAACAAATTCAGTATCCTTTAGCATGCCAATTTCAAGGGGGAAAAATGAAAAAATGCATTCCATTCGGGAGTTGCCTGTTGGGGTGTTAAACCACACGCCGGTCGGTTAGTAGTTGGGTATATGACCACCAGCGATGTTTTTATTTGCAATTTTGGTTTTTATTATTTATAAAGTTTTTACTCCTATCCAAAGCCCCATGAATAATATAGGGCAGTCCGGTGCAACAACCTCTCATCTCCGGTAGTGTTCCAACATTTCCCTTACGGTCAGCGGCTGGATATCCGGAAAACGCTCGTTCAGCGATCCGGCCCTGGGTACACTTGAGCTCCCGTCAGAAGTGTAGAGCTCAAATATTGACATGAACCACTGGAACGCCTTTTTCGGAAAGCTATCATAGAGAGCTCGATGCCCCGGCAATTCAGTGACCTCAAACCGTTTCAGTTTCTCGACGCTGTCGTAGTGGACCTTGAATTTTGACCCTGGACATTATTAGCACAGAGCCGCGAATAATATAATTATTCTGCTGACCTTTAACCTCCTCAGCCAACGCAACTAATTCATTCCATGTCATTTCATCTCCGATAACCCGGCTTTCCTCGGGCCACTCGTCAAGACTTAATATGGCCAGGACGTACTTCGCCAGATCTAATGTATAGGTAAACGTGACTGGTGTGTTACCATCGCCGGGAATTTCCGCAACGTTGTTGGAGAGGTCGACCACGAACACGTTGGGCTTGAGATAGGAGACCATCTCAGACGGGCCGAAGTAGTCCAGAAAAATACCGTTGACGAAGATGGTCCATTGCAAACCGGATTGTCGGAGGATGTCGATGGCTTTGAAGTAATCCTTTAGTTGAGGGAGGATTTGGATGCTCCTATTTTATATCAATATTGATTCCTACTTCTCCCTTTCAGCGGTCAGATACTCACTCTTTCGGGTAGCTGATAGCGAAGCCACTTGGAATAAACCTCTTAGTCGACTTCGACTTTGTAGCAGCATCAACCAAACTCAGTTGGCTGCTCGAGAGAGAGCTGTCATTAACTCCGAAAGCGCAAATAATTGTATTGATATCGTTTGCTTCCAGAATAGAGACCAATTGGTCAATGTCGGAGTAGTCGACTGTGAGAAAATGGTCTTGACTCAACGACTATAATAGAATTGACCCAATCGTCTACTACACCCATTCGCCAATTGAACATTAACCTTTCGTGAAAGAACAAATGTCTTGTGTTCTGAGGAACCACTCAGTACTTCGAAAATGGTGCGGCCGACGCCCCCGGTCCCTCCTGCGATCGCAACATTGACCATGATGAAAGTAGAAAGATCCTATCGGGGTTACAGAAGAAATAAATGTAATAATGCGAGAAAAGCTTGTTTATTGAACTAAATACTGGTGGCTGTTGAGAAATCGAGCGACATATATTTCGGAAGCGGAGATGAGCCCTAACGACGTGTTCCTGTCAGCAACGTGCATATTTAATTCAGATATATATAACTACTATGTACTAGTAGTAAAAAATCAATTGATAAAAACCGCGGAGGTATCACGGCTGTCCCCGGTTCTCTGCAGCACCTCCGCGATACCTCTGGTATCGCGTCGACATGATTCAACTAAAAGACATCCACTTCCCTGCACACCTCCACTATCCCACAACGATATTTTGAACGAAAAATATTTTGTCGATGTACACAGCTCGCTTACCGATTACATTATATAGCGCTAGCCTTCGCCGATAAGCACCCAATCCAATAATAATCAACCATCCACATACATCAAAAGTGGCTGGCTGGTATCACGTGAGGCGGGGGTTGTTAGGGCATTATCTTCTTTCTTTCTTCCTTCCTCATGTTGATTATTCTCGTCGATAGCTACCTAGGCTGAACTCATGAGAAGAAGTTCCATTATCCTGGCCGAGCCCGTGACAATGACTGCTACTGATTATGACCTGTTACTGGTTGTGGTACTCCTGGTCATCAGCCGACTTCACACATATCTTGTCAAAGATGTAAGTCTATTCACATTCTAGAGGATTGCCGAATCATTATGGTTGCTATGGGTTGGTAACCAAGGGACATAGAATAAACCAACCATCCCGGCCGTGGGAGTCCCTCCTGGCCCATTGGGCTCATGGAAAGCAGGACTCAGATTTTTTAGAGATACTTCTGCCATTATCCAGGATGGATATGAAAAGGTAACATTGCCGTAATTGTATGTAGTTGGAGCCTTTGACTGACATATGGAATAAAATATAGTATGCACCGGATGGAAAGTCATTCAGGATCTCCACTCTACCAAGATGGGTGGTAATGGTCACAGATGATGCGGTGCTCAAGGAGTTGCAAAATGCAGACGAACGGATTATTTCCATGCAAGCTGCAGCAGACGAGCGAAATTCCATCTCATATATTCTTGGCAAATGCATCCATGAGAAACCATACCATGTGGCTATCATCCTGAAGAACCTCACGTAGCGACTATCACAGATTCTACCGGAAGTTATCAAGGACTTGGATAATATATTCAGCAAGATCTCGACTACTGGCAAGAAATGGGAGAGTTTCAATCACCACAGTATTGCAGAAAGGTGTGTATCTGTAACCACGAACCGGGCGCTGTTTGGTCATAAACTCGCCAATGACCAAGAATTCCTGGATAGCGTAATAGAGCTGTCAAACACCATCTCACGGGCTGGTTTACCAATTGATCTGGCCCCAAGACCCCTCAAATCTATTTTAGCCCGTTTTTCTGGTGCCAAAACAGGGTGCGTTTCAGGTGTACCTCTCTAAAGTTGGTCCCATGTTCGAAGAAAGACGCAGATCATATCAAGAATACAAAGGAGATCAAGAGATAAAACCAGTATGCATATTTACCTAATCTACTAACTTCTTGTCAATGCTAACATGGTTAGAATGATGCTATTCAATGGTTGCTTGACGCCACCCCGGCAAACCAATCGGTCTACGATCTCACTATGTATACTCTTTACATTCAGTTCTCTGCTATGGGCACCTCATCTGCAAGTCTAGTCAACGCCTTGCATGATCTGGCAACTTATCCAGTATTTCACAACCCGATCAAAGATGAAATTGAAACCATCCTAGAAAACTCCGGCGGTTGGACAAAGCAGGCGTTATTGCAGATGGGAAAGCTTGATAGTTCTGTCAGAGAGAGTTTGAGACTTCATCCTGCTACAACCGGTATAACCCCCCACAACAAACACGGCATGTTCTATATGCTAACATAATGGATCCCAGGAACAATGATGAGGAAAGCACAGCGACCCCATACCCTGGCTGACGGAACACACCTCTCCGCGGGTCAGTGGGTTGCTGCTCCTGCCTGGGCGGTCAATTATTCGACCAAGAGATATTGCAACCCAACTCAATTTGACGCTTTCCGGTTTTTAAATAAGCAGAGAGTATTTGGAGAAGGACATCTTTCCTTCGGACTTGGAAGACATGCATGGTAAGAGATGGCTTCATTTTTACACCTTTTCACATGTTGGAACTATTAACTAATGGAGAGACAATATGGATATAGCCCAGGTCGATTCTTCACAATAATCGAATTGAAAACTATACTTGCCTACATTATTCGGAAATATGAGTTTAAGCTTGCAGCTGATGAGGGAGGGATGAGACCCAAGAATAAGTTCTTTGGCTTTTCTTGTGCGCCGGACTCGGAGGTACAGCTTTTGTTTAAGGTGAGGGATGGTAGTGATTGAATATGGGAGATGTAGATAGAGAGATTTGCTAGATAGGTTGATGTTATAGCCTATGAGTTCATTTATTCAAGTTTAATTTGTAAGACATGCGATTGCCGTTGCTCGCTGTTTTCTCGATGCGAGCAATTGCCCTGTTCTCCTCTTTACAAGCTTTCTCACATCTTGAGATGTTTGTTTCTACAAGGTCGAGACTAAAGTTCCGATCGCTGATAGCGAGTAAGGAGAAGATAATCAGGACGTAGTCGATTGATGATCCTATCTAGCTAGTTATCTAGACAATGAGGGCTCGCGCTGACAAAACAAGCAGGGTGGAGGAAAAAACAGAATAACCTAAGCCCGAGGCCTCTGACACACCCCCAGCGCGAGACCTACGACAAAAAGCTAATATACAGGCAAATTATTGTCATAAGAACAGTGTCAGAGTCATAGCACGGAGTAGTGGGTCACGCGACCAGGCATTTTGGGGGGGGGGGGGGGAGTTGATGAAGATCGGGGAATGGTCGGGGAACCCTACTCTACCCGAATGACACTCTAGTGTGGCAAGACAAAGGAAAACTATCTACCCATCATGCAATCATGTGTGAAAGGGCTAGGGCTCGTCATTTGCTCATATTGCTCCATTGGCAATTGGTCATTAGCCGTTGACTGTCACAGTTTTATAGTGGGGGTATTGACTACTTTAAGACTTTAGGGTGGTTATAGAGCATTGTGAATGCCAATAAGTTATGTGTTTTATTGTTAGAGCAACTGCCTGAGCCCAGAAGTTTTACCGTTGGGTCAAAAAGACCACTGATGAGCGGATGCTCATCATGCTCGGGAACCGACATGATAGTAGCGAACTGATAGGTAGGGATCCTAACATTTATTAAAGATAATCTCTAGTTCTCCCTGATTGCAGACAGCTGGCACTGGTAAAGTGTGTTTTTTCTAGTAAGGAATTTTTGAAAAAGGGTTCTATGATGAGATTGAAATATGCAGCATGAAGACTGGAATGCACTATCTCTGGATGTGAAATACAGTTGTCTTTAACCGCCCCTGGGCCTGTAAGTACCCATGAAGCCACGCTAGAAAGTGGAGGGCTGGACAGGCTCACAGTACTATGTTCATAATATACACTGGATGTGATAGCTTCCTTCGCACACTGTCCAATCTCTGAACTCGCCGCAATATCATGTATCAGGCATAATGTTCTACTTCAACTAAATAAATCTTTGTATTTGACTCCGAGCATGTGGAAACTAAAGGAAGAGTTGCAATTTCTTATAAAGCAAGAGGATAATCAATGTGGCCGCTATACCACATAAAGAGAAAATTTAACGGCAATCAGTATATGCAAGCAATACTCTCTTCGTCGTTTCTTTGCCATCAAGCTATATAGGAAAGAGACCCTCTCTCACCCATTTGAATGTATCTCTGATCAGATTTTACCAAACCTTCTTGCCCTTCTTTTTGCCCTTGCTGTTGTCTTTCTTGTTGCCCTTCTTATGACCCTTCTTCTTGCCTGGGTATCCCTTCGGGGGCCTGAAGGGGTGGTCGGCAGTCTCCAAAGCGTTATCACCATCACCATCCTCCTCTTCATCATCGGGATCATTATTCCTGGTTACCTGAAATTAGGATAGTTAGTGTTATGTATGTGATGACATATCGTAGTATCATACCTGCGTGTCAGAACACTCCTCGAGTGGCACTTGAACGAGGGAGAGTCCATCACAATTTGCCTTGCGGAGCAAGCAAGCGTTGTTAAAAGTTGTAAGGACTCCATCTGCATTCCTGCCGCAAACAGGAGATGACAGTTTAGCACAGACCCCAAGACAAGAGTTAGGAGGAATAATGCTCTCTTCAGCAGTAGGCGCCTCCTTTGATAGAGGGACGGGGAGGGTCAAGGAGAGGGGGAGCAAGAGGGTTGCAAGGATTAGTTGCATCGTGGAGAGCTGGTTCAGATGGAGGATTTGGTGTGGGAAGGGTTGGAGGATGGGTAAGAAGATGAAAGATCGATGGAGAAGAAGGATCTTACTGGACCTGCTGCCTAAAGGGTGCCTAGGTGGCGATGTATAAGGGCTCATCTTGTAGACATGACGTGAACCACGATCGAATTTTGCATGTACTTCTCGTCAAATTCATTGGAATCATCAAATACAATACGCTGTATCCATCGGACTAATTCGCCATGCGCTATAGGCTCCTTATAGCGTAGTACTCTCTCGTAGTGCCTGTAGTAGTCAATCTCATATGCATTGTTCTCTATAGCAATATTGACTATCATACCTCAGTACATTATCCAAGTACAATGTCCACATATTCATTTCCTTGACAAGTATCCTTCTCATAAAGGCAAGAATTTCCAAATTCCCTTCGATTCCCGTCTGCACCTGTTGCACATCGAGGATCATAACCGACACGGCATACTTCTGGATAATCTCCAGCACTTGCCCCATCTTTCTCGGGGAGTGCCAGAGACAGTGAAAACAAAAGAATTACGAGGATGAATCTCATGGTAAAACAACCCGATGTTCGGACATTGCTAATATAGGATGTGTAGATGTTCAACTCGAAGTTTGATAGACGAAAAAAAAATATAAAAAATATAAAAAAAATATAAAAAATAAATACACGAAAAATAAACATACATCGTACAGAAGTCGACGAACAGACAGTTGTCAGTTGTGCTGGCTTTATCTATTGTCGCCTTTGACGCATATGAGAGCCCTTGCTTGCCCTGGTAGATTGTGATCAGCCGCTCCATCCCCTAATGAACCCCGCCTACTCCGTACCACTAGTAGGAACCCTCCAGCCAAATGATTTAATCTATCCATAACTCCAAACCAAATCCTTGGGGCCATGTAACCTTCTATCGAAACCCCTCGCCGCCGGTCTTGGCTCAGCTACTCAGCCGCACGCGCGCAGTGATAAGTAAACTGGTGGCATCTGAATTGCATTTTATTCGGAAGAATTGGGATTCGTGTTGGTGATTTTGTACGGTAATGGAATCCGGGCTGCCGAATAGGACTCGACTCCGACTAAAACAATCAGCATAGAACACATATTTTGGTGACAGCGAGACTCACACAAGGACCAATATAAATACTTGAACATAGGCGGTGCCCAGATTGACACAGCAATGATTTGGCCAAAGTTCCAGTCACTCGCATCAAGATTGACCGCGTCAGTAATAATAAAAGTAGACCAAATACCCATTATGAAAAGTCCAGCCTCGACACAGAAATTCAACACCTTGAACATATTCTTCCAGTTAGACCTAGTCCTTCTAGAAGAAGGAAGCAATCCATTGATGCAGTGATAGACATTCTGCAACCAGTTGGAATTGGCATCCCGAAGATGTCGTCTGGCTAAGGAACCAACCTGCAACAACTCGAGCAATGCATGGCAAAATGTGAAGCAAAATAAAGAGACAGTTGCCACGAAAAGCCCAAATACAAGCATGTCTTGCAAAAAATATGTACTGGGCCCACACCAGATCAGCGGAGGAGGGTGATACCCGCATTTGGACAAGGCATCATTATCTTCCAATAATGCGACCTTGTCCGGTGTTGGTGACCAGTGGCTGGCCATGTGAAATGTAACAATTGATAGGAAGACAGTGATAGAAGAGCACAACAAAGTATAGAAGGACTTAATGCTGGCTTTCTGCACCAACCAGAGACCAAAATTAACAGAGACAAGGGATCCAATACAAACTGCCCTGGTCATCGCAATATCCATACCGAGCTGGTAGAGACTGGCAGCACCGTATAACTCGGGGCCTGCGGACATGGACAGGATAAATGCAATCTGAATAGCAATAACGAAAAAACATTGAGTCTCCTGAAACTCGACCAAAAAAAATCGAACGACAGAACGTTGATTTATCAAATACATGCGCATTCGACTATTGCGTTCCCTGGCTTTCTTCGAATCTATTAGTCCCAAGATTCGTATGGCCAGCCAGATACATGAGATTATTGCAATTTGCATGACATAGGATATAATGACCTAACTAATAATCAGCTAGATTCATGGGAGACTGGTATGAGCATACTCCGGGGCCTGCAATATCTGTATTGACATGGTCATTGAGGTTATGACATGCATGTGAATTAAAGTCCACAAATGGCCGTAATGTCAGCCGATAGAAGCGATCCCACTGAAGGTTCAATCCGCAACTTCCAAGATCCGAGTTTGTGGAATTGCAATAGTTCTGAAGGCAGCCTTGGATGATTTTTCCAAAGTCACTTTCAATTTCAAGAACTGCCTCTGAGGAGTCACTTGTGGCATTACTCCATGAATGGAAGCATTGCGAAAAAGACTCAAAGTTCCTAAACGCGTATGTAGGTTCCAAGCATCTATTCATAACTCTGGCTTGTACTCCGTACTTAGCTTAAAAAATGACATGGCCAGAGATACCACCATTTATTATAATGGTCGATGCCGAGCTGCAAGGCTGTGATACTCCGCCTCCCGCCTTCTTGGCTTTGATTGTTATAGGCTGCGGCTCATGCACAACAATCAGTATTGCCCCTGATTTGCGTTGACGGAGCGGTTGATGTAATCTGACTTACGCGATGGATCAGATTTGTATTTTCTTGAGGGCATTGATACAACGCAACACCATATATGTCGACAGTCTCTCCCGCTCTGAATATGGAGACAAAGACTTAGGTTCCGGCTCGCCGAAACTACACTGATAGCGGGTTTAAATCTGCTGCAGGACCTTATACCTCGGCCAGACTTCTGGGAAAATGCAATTCGCATAAAAGAGCAACTGAGGCTCAACTGCAAATGATCATCACCTACATTAATATAAGCAATCCCTCCCACAGCTGGCATCTGTTCGCCGATATTTAATTGCCCCTCCCTTATAGTGTATGCATTGGACCATACCGTAAAAATCGACCAACCGATACCTGAGAATGTGGGGTCTTGGCGCTTGGAACATTAAAATCAGCACCCAAGAAAAACACGTCTTTTTCACGCGTCGATCGACGGATAGGGGCCTCCTGGCACCTAGAAACCACCATGGAGGCACTGAGACCTCGTGGTGGTGGTGTATCGCACGCGTCACCCCCCGGAACGGGCAACGTGGCCTCCCAGGCTCCCAGCTCGCGGAAACACTGGATATGCCAGACACCCCAACGCCAACCCGTTGGCGAGCCGGGAACATGATGCAGACTGTCCTTAATGATAGCAGCATAGAGAGTGAGAACATGGAGGAAAATGAAGGCCAGAAGCGGAATCAGGCAATGAAAGATTCTACAAAAGTCATGGATTGGCAGGCCAAAGCATCAAACTTCCCTGCTAGATACCAGCAAACAAGCCCAGGTGTTGGTGGGGGCCTTGGAAGCAGCCCAGACATAGCAACAAGAAATGTACCAGATGGTCCGGGAACAGGTACAGGCACACCTGGCAGAGGAGCTGTCCAACTGGAGAGCAGAGCAGCAAATCCATGAAGGGATCTATCTAGAGCGGATCACAAAGCTGGAACTGGAAGTCAGCCAGCTTCGTACAGAGCTCACAGAGGCCCAACACACCATCCAGTGAATTGGACCAGTGAAGCAGGATACACCGGCAATCAATGCTCAGCTGAGCCAGGCAAACCAAAACGACAACAATAACCAGAGCCCCAAGGCGAGGGAAACAATGGGCCAAAAATCAAGGCTGAAACTGTCACGGGCTCGGAATAGTAGATAATATTGAATCAATGTTCCTATCTAAACTAGAGGTTTTTTATAGGGGTTGTTGGTGGTAGGGCTGTATAGTGGCATTTGTGATGTATCATCCGTTGATGCGGTGTTGGGCCGTCACAGCTACCTAGGTATAACACATGAGTTGATGTTCCATTGTCCCAGCTGAGCTCCGTGACAACATAGGTCTGCTTGCCTCGGGACATTCTGTGAAAGAGGTCTGCAACAAACTGCAGAGAGCGGCCAAGGCGGCTATTGAGTGGGGGCATGATAATGTGGTCCAGTTTGATGCAGGGAAAACAGAAGCAATCCTGCTTACTTGCAAACGGGGCCGAGAACTGAAAGATCAAATTCAACAAGCACAAGTGGAGGTAGATGGTCACTGTGTGCCCTTCAACCTAGAAGCAACCCGATGGCTCGGTGTCTGGCTTGACTCTTGTCACGGGCTCGGAAACTAGTAGATAAAACGAATAATATTCATATCTAGACTAGGTAGCCTAACGACGAGAATATCGAATCTAGGGAAGAAGAAGAAAAGGAAATCTATCTAGGCGATGAACGGTCTTTATAGGCATTTGTGTGGTGCGGCTTAAGCCCTTGTTTGCCCATATTGCTTGTATGGCATCGTTTGATATGTTGGCGCTGTTTGTCTGGTGTTGAGCCGTTGAGCCGTCACAACTCTGGCCTAAATCTCAAGGCCCATTATCAGACCTGCATGCGCAAGGCACGGGCTGCAGAAAACCAGGTACAACACCTATGTCAGAGTTATGGACTCACTCCAGGACTGGCTCGCCAGGTTCAAGTTGCGGCGGTGCAGTCAGTAGCCCTGTATGGAGCAGAACTCTGGTGGCAGGGCCAGAAGGATCAGCTAGTTGGTATACAGCTGATTATCAATCAACAGGCCCATGCTATCACTGGCATGCTGAAATCCACCCCTATAGGGCTACTGGTTCATGAGGCAAGCTTAACACCAGCAGAGGTTCTACTGGAGGCCCGACAGTTGAGATATACCACCCGGCAGTCCGGCTGCTCAGCTTACCGGAGAACCATCCTGCCAAGAAGATCCTCCCAGTGAGCTTCCAAGAAGGGGGTCAACACGTCCAGCCTGGGGAGCAGACCCCAGGGAACTGACAATGGGCTGAGAAAAGCAGCCAGGGCCCATGGTCCCTGGGACAACACCTCGCTCGACAATTAGCCAACATCCTACCAGCGGACCCATCTGAGGGCTTTGAAAGCATGATACAGATGACCAGTAGCCAATTCCCAGGCTGAATAGAAGTGCTACCGGGTCCAGAAGCCCTAGCAGCGGCGCAATCTCTCTCTCCTGGACTAGCAATCTTGTCAGATGGGTCAAGATTGGAGAATGGAAGGTGTGGAGCGGTACTTGCATGGCAAGAACCAGGAGGAGTATGGAAGACCTGGGGGTTCCCATTGGGCAAGGGATGCAAGGTCTTTGATGCAGAGCTTCTTGGAGTTGTCCAAGCACTCCAGGTGGCAGGGAAAGTGGGAGACCAGAGACCAGTCACTATCCTGCTGGACTCCTAAGCCGCCATCGCCAGGCTGCGGCATACCCAGCCAGGGCCAGGTCAAGCATTAGCGATCCAAGCACATGCTATAGCCAAGAGGTTATGTGCCCAAGGTCATCAATCCACTATCCAATGGGTTCCGGGACACGCAGGGGTAGAAGGAAATGAGAGAGCTGACCAGGCAGCAAAGCAAGCAGCCAGTAAGCCTCCAGGAAGAGGCCCAAAAGAGATCTCTTGGCCTTTGCCTGTAGAGCCCGAACAGAAGCCGTTACAACACAAAAGCAGAGATGGCTCACTAAGGAGCTCGGCCAGCGATCCCAACAAGGTCAACGAATATACAGGCCACAGAAGAACTGGCAGCTTTGTTCTACAGCTGCAGTAGCTCCCAAGCACCTGGCAAGCCGCTATTTTCAACTGAAGTCAGGACATGCAACCATTGGAGCACACCTACACTGGATTCAGGCCCAAGAAGATGCAACCTGTAAAAGCTGTGGCTTATCAAGGGAGACAACACACCATCTTCTCTTTGAATGCCGAAAATGGCAACACCAACGAAATAAGCTCTATAGGGACCAGGAGATGGATGGGGTTATGAGACCCACTGTTGCAAAGAGTGACATAAACAAATTCTGATCTCGACTATGGTACGTCGCAAGCATATCTTTATAAGGATGGCTTATATTTTGTTCTTTTCTTGTCTAAGGGTCAAACCAACTCCGCCTCAATCACACTCTCCGCAACACCTGGATAGGAGTATATATTGATCACCTTCAACCCAGCCTTGTCCAATATCTCCCTCCAGTTGGCCTCCGTCCTTTCCCGGACTGCAAAATGCGCCAGCATCATCATATCCATACTCGTCGCCGCCAGCGTCGGCTTCTCCTCGCTAACCACAATCTCATTCAGCAACACCCGAGAATATCCCTTCTTGAGCGCAGGCACCAGATTCTGCAAGATCAAGATGCCCTCCTCATCACTCCAGTCGTGTAGGATGGAGTGCAGATAGTACGCGCGTGCATCACAGACCGTTTGCGACGTGAAGAAGTCGTGCGCTTGTACTTCGAAGGGGAGCTCTTTGTCGCTGTTCTCTGCCACCACGCCGGCAATAACGGCCTCTCGGTCTTGGAGGATGAGTCTACCGGGACATGCGGGCTGATGTGCGGCGGCATAAGTTGCAAGGTCGTGGCCTCTTCCACCGCCTACGTCTACAAGCAAGACGTCGCTGATGGAGGGATCGAAGCCGGTGATCAATTGGTCGGCGACGGGGTAGAAGTCGGGGGCATACCAGTTTGCTTTACCGGCGCGGTAGGCGCCCATGAACGAGTCGAAATGTTGGAGATGCGGGGGCGTGGTGACTATCCATTCGAAGAACGGGAGCTCGGTCTTATGCGCATCTTGGAAGGGACCGTCGATGCCGCCTACGGTAGGACTTTTGTATTCGGTGTTCTTGAAGAATTGCGGGAAGCCGTTGAACGAAGGTCTTGAAGCATCGTAGCAGAAGGAGATGCTGTGTTGGTATTTCTCTTCCGCAAGACCGTTGCTCAGTGGTGTGCTGTGGAAGGCACCATCATGGTAGGTAATAATGTGCATCGTCACTAGGTGGCTCATTAGGCGTCGGAGCAAGAGCTCGTTTATTCCGGTTTTCTCGGACAGGATGGACGGGGTGAGGCCGGCATCTCCTGCTTCCCGCAGGAGTTGGAATAGTTTGACGTCGACGGCAAGACGAATGATCGCGGACATAGCGGGCTATCGAGATCATACCACATTATACACTGTTCCTTGATCTTCAGAATACATCAGGATTACCTCTGCCCAGAAGCTGCGCTGTACAAACTCGCTTGGAATTTCTAGCGCACCGATTAGCGCACGGCTGTGCTCAATAAGAGCTTCTCTTGATCCGGCTTCATTGATGTCGAACGCCTTTCCTGCCGAAGCCAGGCTTTCCAGGATCGAGGATACGGCCATTTTCATGGTTGGCGCTTTGAAATCTGATAGGAGAAAATAATTGTATACGGATGAGATACTACTTCAGTCAGCAAGTCCGATGACTGCCTTTAATAGACCTCATTGTCAGGGACTGGAAACCGCTATCACCCCTTAGCGATACGCGTGTCTATGTGCTCGTGTCGAGGTGCCCCTCCTTCCAAGTTGCGTATCATATGGCCAGATCTGTGGGCTTGTCAGTCCAACCCGCGGGGTTGGAAGGGCTCCCCAAAATCCAGGCTAAATTCTGACCTCCCTGTCAGGGGACAGAGCCTAGTCTGTATTTGGAATAGTTACGGGAGTTTGCTTAGTCCTAGCGACGCAATCAAAAGCGGTTTTTGTTCTTTAGCCTCATCGCTACCACCACTTCTCTCGCTTCGCTCCGAACCTGCCATTTTGCGCGCGAGTCATGTTCATGCAGAAAACCTCGTATTCATGGTACTACCGGCTGATTTAGCTCTATTTTCGTGTGGGTCTATTTGTCCATGGTTAAGGGCGGTCCGAATTCCGAGAATCCAAATTGGCTGCGCCGCATTTCTTCATTCTTTGTTCCGGATTGTTGCAGCTCGCATTGTCCAACCCTATTGTCAAGTCTCTTTGTGATAGCTCTTCAATGGTATTCGCTGGATTAATCCACTATATACCGGTCATTTAGAGAACAAGCTTTCTTCAGTCAGGGAGAAGGGACTTCAAGCATTGTTCACGTGTTGTTGCGCGGGCTCAGATCGACCGGAGTACCCACCTTCCGGCGGTCCCCGGACGGCTTAAAATAAGCAACATGTTCCTATAAAAAAGTGGTTCGGCGAGTGACTAGACCGTGCTAAGCACTGTTACCGTGGCCCGGATTGAGATCTTAACCTGGAAGAACCATGAGATCCGGTTTTCACTGACCAGTGTTCTATGTCGCGTTGCTGGACGAGCCTCAGTCCTCACCGAAGTGCTCCGAGGAGTTAACTGGAGTCAATTGATCCTTCTACATCCTCATTGGAACCGCTGCCAATGCCCGGACACCAGTCCATTGTTTCAACCCCTGTCATGGTTCATAATTTTCCTTGCAGATATAGAGTATCTGCACTCATGTGGGCTAAAAAACTACTAGTCGGCCAAGAAAAGAAAAGAAAAAATATGAAAGAGACTGTTGACTGTCATAATAATACTGAAAATGCGTAGGTTTTGATTTCTAAAAGGACTCATCGTCGAAGGTTATCATAAAAACCTACCTTTCCCCGGATTCGCGGTCTGTATAGGGGTCTTTAGCTTTGGCCGACTCTCTCCGCTACCATAGCTATGGCGAGTCTCAACACAGATGTGGATTTCAGTGAGAGTCGCGCAATACAGATTAACGTCATTGGGTGGGTGTGTACGGGTATCGCGATTGCGACGACCTCTCTCAAGATTTTTACTCGGATAGAGATTGTCAAGCAACCTGGTTGGGATGATGTTTTCATTTTCTTTTCGCTGGTAAGTAAACTCTATACAGGGTACTCTATATTGAACACGGCTCATTTCATCGGCTAGGCCCTCAGCATCATTGCGACGGCGCTGGTATCATACTCGGTGACGCTTGGTCTGGGACGACACACCGCAGCAGTGATCGTAGAACACGGCATGGAAGGAACAATCATGACAGCCAGATGGCAGATTATAGCATTCCGTATGCGCCCACCATGCTCTAAAGTATCCGAAAAGCTAACCTCCAACCCAGCTTTCAACATTGGTCCGTGCAATTCTAACTAACATACTCATAACACATCCCTAACAAATATCCAGGGGCCTTCAGTTTCCCAAACATCTCTATCGCAATCCTCGTCAGCAATCTCCTCGACCCAAATCCTCCACGCACTTACGCCCTCTACGCCATGTCCACCGTCCAAGTCATCTTCGCCATAGTATCCGTTTTCGTCGTATTTCTGCAGTGCTCGCCGACGGACAAGCTGTGGAATGCTTCTCTTCCGGGTACATGCTGGGATCCGTCGGTTTTCAACGACTATTCGTACTGGGTTAGTGCGTATACAACCATGACGGATATCGTGTTGGCGATTATGCCCATCAGCGCGTTTTGGAATCTGCAGATGCGGTTTCCGAAGAAGTTGAGCGTGTGCATTATGATGGGGTTGACATTGCTCTCTGCGATTGTTACTATTGTCAAGGCGACGTATTTGCATTTATTTACGGATAAGACGGATCCTCGTGAGTGACCCCAGATTGGCCCGGCATGGATGGATTTTGCTAACATCAACAGTCTGGAACGTCGTACCGTTAGTGAACTGGGGCCTGTAAGTACCCTCATTCTCTCTACTCTCTACCAGCCTCTAATAGTCTCTCCCCTCTAGCATCGAACAAAACGTCGTCATAGTCGCCGCATGCATCCCGACCCTACGCCCCTTCTTCCGCAAAACCTTCCAATCCAAAGACGCCTCCACCTCCTCCGGCTCCGGCTCGCGTTCTGGATTTGGTTTCCAACTCACTTCCAACCCTAAACCCGTCGGCTGCAAGCACCTCCCCTCTGTATCAGAACTCCCGCTCAACGAGCAAGAAGCCTACGATGTGGAGAATAACGGAGATCACCGGGCCATTTGGCGGACAAAGGAGGTTAAGGTGGAGAGTGAGACAGAGGACGGTGATGAGGGGAGTATATTTGGGAAATATACTAGGGATGGTACGCGGGTGTCGCGGGCTGTATGATTTTATGATGTGGTTTTCTATGATCGTTGTACATTAATATTTATTTCCGGTTTATCAGCCTACAGAAATGATTCTCTTTTGTGACAACTTTCAAGTCCCAGTACTAGATGTCGAGGAAAAAGTTCAACAAGAAAGAAAAACGTCGATTGTTGCCAAGTACAGCTAGATGCATTTCTCCCAATCTAAGCCAGATAAGATCTAGCTATGTCTCAGCCATGCGAAAATCTGAAGATTCATTACGCCGATCCCTCGTATAGCCAACTCCGCCATTCCTCCTGAATCGCAGCATCCGGCGATCCTATCTAGGATGCCTATATTTATTAACGCTGTTAGCCTTATGCGCGATAATCGCGATCATCAACATACCGAGTCATTGCATTCCGAGAGCTCAACCTGCGTGTAGACTTGCTCCGGATTCTCGCAGTTGTGCTTCCTGAAAACACAGGGGTTGGAGAAGGTTCTGGTGTTTCCAGCCTCGTCTCTGCCACATTGAGGGTTATATTCCAATGTGCAGAAGTCTTGGCACTGAGTGTCGCCCTCTTGGGGCGCGGGGAGTGCGAAGGACAGAGGGAGGAGGAAGGTAATGGCTGCGAAGAGGAACTTCATTGTGGATGATCGATGAGTTGTTTTGATGTTGGAAGTGTTGCAATAGTATAGTAGAATTGGATTGATCGATGGTGATGATGAATTTCAATGTGTTGGTTATTAGCCTCTCTTTATACCTCCCATGAACGTAATATGACAAACGCTGATAGGCCAATGGCAAAACCCTTACTTTATTCCAGATCAGGTTTTAAAGCCAAGCTCATGCGCCCCTCCCCGGGGCCATTTCGGCACTCTAAACGAGCTCAGCTCAAGAATGCTGAGTCCCAGATATGATACATCCAATGACAGCAAAAATATGCAGCTCTTCCTGCAGAAGGATCAGAGCCCATGCTGGGAATTCTGCTGCGACTACTGAATCCGGGGCAGCCGAATACGACGGTCTATGCATGGTAATAATGAGGTATCCAATGCCATCACTCAAATACGGTCTTCTAAGAACGTTCGTAAACCTAGATCTAGTTCTTTTCGATGCAGGGACCAATCAAGACTGACATCACGGATACGATAATGTGGCGAGAGTCAGCCTCGATGAAAAGGGCGGGCAGTTTCATATACGAGAACTGGTTCTGGGCAATCCTTTGTGGTGGTTATTTATGGATGGATGATTCTCAGAAATTGCTCGATGTCTTGGGATACATATATAGAATCCAAGCGTGTGGGTTTATGTGTGATATATCGTGTGTGATCATCTTGGCATCGATTCATCTAGAAACAACACCAATTATAACGGTCCGAAGACGTACCTTAAGGTTCTCATCTCACATCAGCGTACCGGATAAAATTATCAATCGAATTGGAGGAAGTATAGCTATCTCGAGGGTGGGAGGCTCTTTCATGAGTATCGGGAGATTGCTGCGTGACTCGATGTATACTCTGTATCTGTATACTCCATACATCGGGAGATGATTATTTGTCGCCATTCAACCAGAGTCGCGCTTTCAGCTTTCCAACAAAGCGTAATTTTCAACCCCAGAACATACACTGAATGATATCATTGAGAACGGAAGTTCAAGTACCATTCCGCATCCCACCAATGACTAGAAGTCGAACAAGTAAGGGCGATGTACCCCGCACACACAACATCCAAATTGACCACGAGACAACGGGGTCACCGGAGGTTGAATGCAGCATTCCTTGTTTAGCTTGACGAGGGATTATATCCAACAGCGAGGGTCAGTCGTCTGCATCCATTGATTGATCACCGGATGTATGAGAAGATGTCTCTGGCGATGAACCCAAGAATCAGTGCTAACAGTATGCTGACCGTTGAGGGACATTAGTGTCTCTTACTTGGCTCCAATGCAGTCTTGTCGTTGGTGTTGATGGGGGTTCGTATGCTGTTTCTATAGCTGCATTGCGCGTGTTCTGATGCCCAGATTTACACTGATAAGTGTAGGCCATTCTCAGCTTTTTTCCCGGAACTTATTTTTCTTCTCTGCCGAGTTTCTCTGGAAACACGGGGGATGTGTATGAGAAGTGTGGTCGTTGAGGACCGATCTCAGCATCCCTTTGTCGACCTCGCAGATGCCTTCGAACATGCGAGTTATACTTGCGGCTTCGAACCATCAGCTCCTGCATGTTGAGGCCAGTAGGCCTTCGCCTGCTATGCCCAGTCAGGCTAGCATTGCCCACAACACAACTCCTCTTTTCTCCCTGTCTGCCTTAGCTAGTTCCTTCTCCAATCAACAAGCAAATGTCTAGCCTTTCTCCTTTATACTGCATATGGCGCTCAGGTAACAATGGATCTAAACATGTCAAGTCCGTCCACCAGTTGAGTAAATCTCGTCTGCTTCGGTTACATATCGCCAATGTATGAGCAGACTACTAAATAGGTGTTTGTCCCATCATTTTATATGTGATCTATATCATGTGACAGCTAATTGATGACAAATATCTTGGTCTAACTAACTATGGGTGTGTACGTGCCTCTCACTAGTGATAGGACAGTCGATTCTGGTCTACTACACTTCTAGGGACAGACACGAGCCGCGATTGAATGGTCTCGTAGCGTATCTTATCAATCTCAGGAGGAGATTCACCGTTCAACCATCTCTTTCTCACCTACATCTTGAAAACCCAGTCGAAGATTTCGATGCCTAAGGCCAAGAGCAGCGATGCCACTGAAGCCTAGAGTTCTAGATTTCTATATCGGAAGTCGATTACAGCAACGACTGTGCCGACGTCTGCCTACATTCCGTCTATTTAGGAGACCGCCGCACGAAGAATCCCTCCTCTTCTTCTTTCCTCCTTCAACCACCGTGTTCATTGAACAACTATCAAAATACCACCAATGCACTTACCAAAACAACACAAATAACAAACACTAGCATGAAGCTCACCTTCGGAACTACCCTCCTCCTCCTCCACCACCTCGCCCTCGCCCTTCCAACCCCAGAGGTCCCAGAGGAACCAGCCGTGTCCATCCCAGAGGAACCAACCGTGCCTGTCCAGGAGGCAGCCACCATCATCCCGCCCTGTCAACAAGTCTGTCCTCCCGAATGGGCACCAGTCTGCGCAAAGGACGAATACGATAATATCATGATCTTTTCCAGTTTCTGCCGTTACTACAATGCAAACTGTGGCAAGCAGAGGTATATCCTGGGGCGGATTGAAGAGTGTATTGAGCCAGGTGAGAACACGCCGATTCCGCCGATGGTTCCTGTGCCGTTTACGGGGTGATTTTACTCATATTGGAGGAGGAAATGGGGAGTAGTTGGGGTGATTTAGTTTGATCTTTTGATTTCTAACTCTTTGGTTTATTTGGGATTTCTCATATGTGCGTGGGTGCTTTTGATCTCCTCTTGACCATGTCGTTTCCGATGATTGTCAATTAATTACGGATAGTTACTGATCAACATAATTGCTTTCTTCAACTTTCCCAGCTTCCACTTCCATCCGTTGTGGACGGACTTGTTAAGTTGCCGGCTACCCTACTCGTACACTATCAAGACATATATATAGTTGACCGATATGAGCGAGTCGAGCCATATGATAGCATAGATATTCGCCCAAAGAGTACATTTACAGTCCCCGCAGATTTATATATTCCCCTCGACAGCCAGTAGATAAAACGTATAACATTCGTACCTAGACACTAGGTAGCGAAATCTATCATTAATCATGACATCTGCTTTGCCTGTGGTACACTAATATGTATCGCATAAGTTCTATCTTGCATAAGCGTGTATTAGCACAAGATCTCGCTGCAGTTATATGATTGGTTTGGATCATGATGTACAATGATCGCGGTGGGGTGAGGGTAGTTTATGTATTTGTCCTGTCCACACGAACATCTCTTAGTTCTACCTCAGTCACTATATTTTGTTTCAATAACTCGTGAATATGGAATTCCACGTGGTATCCAAGTCCAATAGCCGGGTCCACAAAACTGTTTCAGTGGATAAATCCACATATCCAGAGTTATCCCCAGATAGCGTCCGTGTGCAGCCAGCCGTGCTAAGTCTGGTATCTAATAACCTGAGCTATGCTCGACTTGGACACTTTCTAAACTGGTGTGTCCCTTTCCCGCAAAAACTAACTTATTTACTAAAACCAGGACAAGTGGAACGCATATCCAGTCCCCCAATCCGCTCTGGAACCATACAACGATAATACGCAATGGGGCATCGTTCCGACGTGGGGATATGGCATTATCGTCGAGTCTAAGATCACCTCGTTGCGACCCGGAACACTTCTATTCGGATACTGGCCGATGGCGTCTGCACCTGTGGATTTGAAGTTGGCGGGTACTGGGCTGAGGTATCGGAGCATCGAGAGAAATTTATGTCGTTGTATAACGAGTACCAGGTCAAGGGATACCATGAGATCCCGATTGACACAGCGGTTGGGTTTACAGAGGAGCAACTAAGCCAAATGGCGTGGTTCTCCCTCTTTGGCGCAATCTGGCAGACCGGATACCTGCTCAATCGGTATACGTTCACGTCTAATCCAAGCATACATCTCCCCATCGGTCCCATGGGATATAAGACATCTCATTGGAGCGATTTCGACAGGGACCTGCCACAGACTGTGCTGGTGAGTTAGATGAAAAGTGCCGCAAAGTTGATGTCGGGTTTCAATCTTCGAAAAGTTATAATTGTCGACTTTGGTGGGAGGGACGGTGCTTTGGAGAAGTTTGTGAGGATAATGCAAAAGAAAGAAAAGCTGCAGGGCGTTAAACCGGTAGTTATCTACGTTGGGCAAGAACAGAAGGTATCGTCCATTGGTCTCCTCTCGTCTACCTGATCAATTGAACTAAAGCTGACACTGTTAGACCTTCTCGCCCGACGGAAGGGGATCCTCGTTCCAGGGCCTGAAACAAGCATTCCCAGTCGTCTGCAATACCGCAGACATTCGAGACGAAGTCATCGCGAAAATAGGACGGCAAGCATACTACGACGACTTGCAAGCGAACTGAGAGGAGTGGATTAGTGATAGGGAGCGGAATATCCCCGATCTGAAGCTTATTTGGGGGCGAGGTATTTCTAGAGAGCAGGGGATCGAGGCAGGCTGGGATCGACTAGCTGATGGAAATGTTGCGCCTGATGAGGGGTTGGTTTTGGTGTGTGGTGAATGGTTGATTGGTTTATGGCCTATCGGCTGAGCTAACTATATAAACTACCGGGCAGAAAGCGAGGGCGGTCAGACACGTGACCCGATGGGTACTAACAGTTGGTTTATCGGATGTGGTAGAGATGAGCCCCCATTCTGTCTTTTCATACCGCCTACTACAAGAATTCTAGCGGCAGTATTCACCGCCAACCAATACAAAGGCGGTAAGCCATGACAGGAACACGTATGTGATTGGCCCAAGGTAGTCCACGTATTCACAGCTTGCCATGCAAACTCCTCTTAGCATACGAGTTCGAAATAGAAAACATATCCCGCCGAGACACGGGATGTGAACGGAGTACTCCGTACCTCGAGTCAAGAACACCCAGACCCTTCTCCCTTCAGTCCCTGATACATTCTCCACGGAATCCACGGATACAAGTGGCAATGCACAATGGAATACACAGCCTTATAATACACAGCCTTATTGTCCCAAAACCCACCGAGAATTCTGCCCTGCCATCCTTGGTTCGGAGACCTCGGATAACCTCCTACATCCATACATTCATTATCATATGTCAAAGATCCTTCACGGCCTAACCGAGCAAAAGCTTGCGTACTCAGGCTCGTATTCATGCATGCTGCCGTGTACACAACAAGCATTATGTCCAAATGACAAGCAATAGCCATGCAGCAGCTCCAGTATCATAACAAACGCCCACGTCATCCATCTCCCCGTGACTCCTTGGCCATTTCCAATTCAGGAAAACCCCCAAACATGGCCCCTTCGGGATGCTTCTGGAGTCGAAGGCAGTGTCCAATAAGAGGACAGTTTGTAAGGGGCTTCTTCATGCGTGCTTCACCGATCCAATCAGACACTAAGAGTTCTGCCGATCTATGGATCTCATTTCGTATGCCGGGATTTACTAAGAATAGCTTGTTAGGCTGCTGGATTCCTGCATTGCTTAGTCACTACGGTATAAACGGGCAATATGACTGGTACAAGGCTCTGAGGCTTCCTATTCAGGGTTTGAGGATGGAGTCTGGTTGGTTGGCTCGATGCACTGTGGCGATCACTGAAAAAAGGGCCTGCTACGCCGCGTCTGCTGCGCCCTGTCAGCGAGGCCTCCGGGCTATATGCCGATCCCATCGGACTGGTCACCCGCTATTGTAATTAATGCCGGGGATCCGATATATAAGGGGTAACGTTTCCCAGATTCATATCAACCATCACTCAATAACCACTTGCATCTTCATCTTACGAGAGACGCTATACAAACAAACCTTTTGCATCCTCCTACAAACAAACTTAATCTAAACAAACAAACAACCGCAACCATGCAACTCAACATCAACACTCTCACCACCCTCCTCCTCCTTTCCTCCTCCTCCGTCCTCGCCCAAGACTCCGTCGGCAACTCCATCGACAACATCGTCGACGGCGCCAAAGGCGCCGCCTCCACGGCCGTTGACGGCGGCCGCAACATCGCCTCTGCGGCCGTAACCGGCGCCGAGGGCGCAGCCTCCGATGTCACCTCCGAGGGAGGAAACATTGCCTCCAAGGTCACCGGCGCCGCAGGCAGTGCTCTCAACAGTGCCAGCAACGCCATTTCATCTGTGACCAGCTCGGTGGAATCTGAAGCTTCGTCTGCGACGGTGACTTCGACTAGTGGATCGAGCTCGGCTAGCGGGTCTGCTAGTGAATCGGGTTCGAGCGCGAGCTCGAGCTCGGCTACTCCTTCGTCGTCGTTTATTACCACGACGATGACCAACTCGGAGGGTCAGGCTACTGCGACGAGTACTTCGACTTCGGTTTCTGATCCCTCGACTTCTGCTTCTGAGGGTGCTGCGCCGCAGATGACTGCTGCTGGGTTCGGTGTGGGTCTTGCGGGTATGTTGGGTGTTATGGCTGCTCTGTAGAGGTAGCTAAGCACTAGGATATGAGAGATTTGGCTTCCTTTGTTATTTGATGATACCATGTTTATTTTGAACTCTGATTTGAATGGAGCGTTGTATAATTATTTCCTGGATTGTTCATAATATACCAGCAGGGAAAATCCGACTTCGTCCATTTGTTTTTGTCTATATGCAATGCAATCAACTGAAATTATACACATCAAAAGTAAATTTTGTTCTTCAAAAAAAAAAAAAAAAAAAAAAAGGATAATAAAACGAATGTAAGAAGATAATAAGTAAGAAAATTAAAAACTTAAGCCTTGGTATCATTGTCCTCCCCCGATGCACTCCCAGGCGAACCACCATGTGCCTCGACCGTCATCTTCGGGCCAGTGTACCACTTGCGCGCGAAGAGAATGTAGTACGTCGCACTGGCAATCCACACAAAGCCGTTGAGCACGATAGTGTAGTTCATCGAGTCCGCTACTATCGTCAGCACAATATTCACCACGCAGATTGCAAAAAGGGAGGGAAAACTTACGCGACGGGTTCGGTCCATCGCTAGGGAACATAGACAACACCAAACCGAACAATAACCACACAACAGCCACAATGGCAATTGGCTTACTCAAGAAGCCCATGTAGAACTCTCCAGGTTGGAAGTTGTTTTTGCCCCAGACCAGACGGCACAGGATGGGGACTCCCCATGCGACGTAGTTACTGGCGACGAACAGCGAGAACAGCGCGTTGGCGGCGACGGAGTTGATTAGGCACAGCAGGCCGAAGATGATGGAGACGACGATTAATCCGATGATGGCGTTCACGGGTTGGTAGCGGATGCGATGGCTCACGTGGCGCCAGACGTTGGAGAATGGGAGAGCGCCGTCGCGGGAGAAGGCCCAGACTTGACGGGAGGCAGCGGTGATCTGGTTTGTTAGCATCTCGCGACTTCATCAAAGCAGGGGAAATCATACCAAACTGAGACCGATGAGGAACTGAGCGACGATCAAGACACTCATAAATCCGAGAGCACCCTTCTTCCCAAGCGCATCGTAGTAAATCTGCGCCATCGGCTGGCCGTACACACTATTGATCGTAGCGCTGACATCCGGGTTCATGCAAGCAGCGACCACAGCCAAAACCAAGAATCCCAGCACACAAGCAGAGCCAGACGACAACATGATACCAAGAGGAACCGCCTTCGCGGCGTGCAACGCCTCCTCACTCATGTGAATACACGAGTCGAAGAACCCAATAGACCAAATCGGAGCCAGGAAGGCCAGAATGAAACACCATCCCGTCGGCCAGGTCGTTTGGTTTTCTACATGTCCAAACACCCAGCTTCCCTCGTTCAACGATTCTCCACGTGTAACCTTTCCGACTGGTAGGGCGATGACCGTAGCGACGATGAGAGCGACGTTCATGAAGATACAAAAGTTTTGAATCTTGGGCATAATAGTGCCGAAGTAGACGGTGCAAATTCCGTGAAGGACGATCAATCCGACGTAGACTCCGTAAACAATGCCGTTGGATGCTGACCATTCTCCGTCACGGGCAATCGAAACGCATGCGAGGATCATCGTGGAGAGGGTATCTGTAGTCATCGAAGTCCGGTTAGCTGGCCGTACCATCTGAGCTTTGCGACAATCACTTACAGTCGACAGAACAAATGCCTCCAATCAACCCCAATGTGTTGCTGTATCCAACCATGAAACTCAACGGATGCTTCCATTTGTTACCCGCAAAGTAGTGTGTCCACCAGTAAAGACCACCGGCTGTTGGCATCGCAGACGCCAGGTCCGACTAGAATGGGTCAACACATTATTATCGACGCGATCGAATGCGACGGGGGAAATACCAATGCCAAACCAACGCATAGAATAAAGATACTCGCAGTCAACCAGCCCTATAATTTCCCAGTTAGCAGCAATTTCACATGCGATGTCAAATTAAGCAATTAAGCATACCCAAACCATGCCTGCCGGTCCAGCCGGCAGCGAAAACGAAATAGTCGATGCGATAGAAGGAACCAGACTCATAATACTAAATGCGACCGCGAAAATCTGCACCGTCGAGTACTGTCGCTTCAACTCCTGCTTGTAACCCATTTTCGCTATCAACCATATTAGCGACGCCCTTCCAACACTTTGCCATCGCATCTACCTACCCAAGAGCTCCATATCCCCAGAACCGGCGAGACTGGCATCTTCAGCGCCCGTGTTGGCGGCGACCGCCGCTTGCGTGTCGGTAACCGTTGGCATTTTCGACTCCATGACACGAGATATCTATCGCTTTCTTTCTCTCCGAGCCCGACGCGTGCCGAATCGTAGGTGGTGAACAGTCGGACAAGAGAAGATGTCGACGGGAAAAATCGAGAAGCCTGTCAGGTGTCGAGGACGGACTTAAGTTCAAAACATAAAAGTTCTGTCCGAGATTGCCAATATGTAACTAACTTGCGACCAAAGTTAATTCTTCAGGATTGGGACTTGCAGGGGTAAACGTCGCCAGCCTGAATGTCTAATTAAACATAAATGCGCAGAGCAATAGACTGTGGATCAAACGCCGTGAGTCTCCTCCGTGCTAGTAGTGCTAAAGAGTAACTATCCGTGCACCGTCAATAGTGTCCATGCGGTGCAATCCGCCAATGTATCAGTTCGCCGGTACTTTTTTTTCTTCCCGAATTTGAGCCTGTCGCCACGGACGGCGTCCCAATGTCTCCCGCGACGGTCATTGGCACAGAGAATCGGGGAGAGGCGAACTGAGGGAATTGGAACCAGTGTGCTCCGACCACCGGTACTCCGTACAGTGCGATCGCCTATCGGTGGAGTCGATGATGCTGAGTACTCCGTCTATGTATTCGGGGTAGCATTCTTCGATCGTACTGCGTATTTTGTCTCTTGCATTGCATCTGGACTAAAAGACGGTTAGAGACCGATGCATGTATATACATATGCAGGGATGTTCCTACATGTAAAGTATCCTCCACGAGTGTTCGAACGTGGGATGTACTTTGAACTGGAAGACTCCCGTCTCCGCGCTTTGGTCCGTCATGGTTTCAGACTCGGCAAATCAGTCAGTAATTGCAATAACACAACGAGTCAGATTGAAGATACCCAAAGTCCGTCACCTAAAAGAGACTGCAAAGCGAAGCTCCTTCATAAAGTCATGTTGTTGTAGTATTCAAAAGTTGTTCGTTCGGAAATCCGGTGTTCGAATCCCGGGCGGGTATATCGTTTACTGTTAGTATAAATGGCATTACATGTACATCTCATCAAACGTGAGAAGTGAGATCTGGTTCAAGTCCAGATAGCACCATATTATCCCCAATACAGGTTGCTGTCCGAGGTTCTGCCGATATCTACCGCTTTAGTATCACGTGCTCCACGTGATGCCAGTCCAGTGTCTTGTGAGACGGATAAACCAATGTAGCGGTTAAAACTCCGTATCGGGGAAGTCGGAGGAGTCGATTATCCGGACTGCACGAGGCTATAGGCGAGGAATCTAAATTACACTAAAGAGGATGACATTGACATCTATAGACACTATAGACACTATAGACGATAGAATGAGTGCTTGTCTATCTAAACGTGCGTACACGCTGGCCTATATCATCGGATCGGCAGAACTTGCCGAATCGGTCCAACGTTATTCTTTATCATGTCTTAGTCAGCTTCGTCTTCACGATCTTTAGTTATTAGGGCTGCTCTCCATATATATTTACTGGCTCTTTTGCTCAATTGTATCATTGCTAACCTCTCTGGCCATTGCTCATCTTTAGATGTGAATCACCTTTGAATGGTATTAGAATCTACATCCAGCTCATGCTATATTCTGGCCTTCCGACTGTATATGTGCCTCGCGACCCAGAAATACATCATGACCGAAACATGGTTCATTCAAACCCCGGTCCGAGATGCCCGGATACCAGGGGGACGGAGGGTTGGTAGACCGGGATCAATGACCGAAAGGACAGGGCGAGATAAGGGGTGTGCTGGTATATCGCGCAACATTTACTACTCTGTACGGTCTGGAATGCGAAATTCTGTCGAGTTTTGTTTGTCCGCTTTCTCGGCTCCGAGCAAACTCCCCATTCTTCCTAAACATTCTCGTTGGATAAGAGAAACAGAGGGCGACGACGAATAACCAGTCATTTGGGCCCGCTGTCAGACAATCAGTGGATCGGCCGCTGATTTCAAGCTGCCCGTTATTGGGCAGTCGTGCCTCTCTCTCCGCGGAGATATAAAAACTGCGCTTATCACCACCTGGAGACTTCTTTACAGAGCCATCCTACCGAAAGGTGGGAGTATAAATATCACTAATCGCACTCAGTAGTACCGTTAAATCTCTTACTCAATTGTCCCAGCTTATTACTCCCAGATACCGAAAATGTCGCTAACTCCCGAACAAACCGAAATCATCAAGGCCACCGTGCCTGTCGTTAAAGAGCATGGCAACACCATCACCACCGTTTTCTACAAGAACATGCTCGAAGCCCACCCCGAGCTGAACGCCATCTTCAATACCACCAACCAGGTCAACGGTCACCAGCCCAGCGCCCTCGCCGGTGCCCTCTTCGCCTACGCCTCCAACATCGACAACCTTGGTGCCTTGGGCCCCGCCGTCGAACTCATCTGCAACAAGCATGCCTCGTTGTATATCCAACCCGAGCACTACGGCATCGTTGGCAAGTTCCTTCTCGAAGCGATGGGACAGGTCTTGGGTGATGCCCTGACTCCGGAGATCCTCGACGCCTGGACCGCTGCCTACTGGCAGCTCGCCAATCTGTTCATTGGTCGCGAAAGTGATATATATAAGCAGAGTGAGGGATGGACACAATGGCGCGAGTTCAAGGTTGCGCAGAAGGTCCCCGAGTCCGCGGAGATCACCTCGTTCTACCTCAAGCCCGTCGACGAGAAGCCTTTGCCCCGCTTCCGTCCTGGACAGTACATCTCCGTCCAGGTGCAGGTTCCTCAGCTTGAATACCCTCAGGCCCGCCAATATTCCCTCAGCGACATGCCCCGCGATGATTACTACCGCATCAGCGTGAAGAAGGAGACGGGTCTCAACACAGCTAAGCCGGAGGCCAAGGTCAACCCGGGTTACGTCTCGAACATTCTGCACGAGACCGTCAACGAGGGTGATGTGATCGAGGTGTCGCACCCTTGCGGTGACTTCTTCCTGGCGGAACATGAGCCGTCGCACCCCGTCGTCCTCATCGCGGCCGGTGTGGGTCTGACGCCATTGACCTCGATGCTCAACACATTAACCTCCACCCCCGCGGACTCTCAGCGCAAGATCCACTTCATCCACGGTGCCCGGACCACTTCCGTCCGCGCCTTTAAGGACCAGATCAAATCTCGCGCTGAGCAGCTCCCCAACCTCCAGGCCACCTTCTTCACCAGCTCCCCGTCCGCAGACGAGAAGCAGGGCGTCGACTACGACGTCCAGGGACGCATCGATGTGTCCAAGATGGATGCCAACAAGGATTTGTTCCTCGACAATGCTCAGACTGAGTTCTACATTTGTGGTCCTACTGCATTCATGAATGACATCGCCAACAGCCTGAAGGCTCGGGCTGTTACCTCGGAGCGTGTCCACATGGAATTATTCGGAACTGGCGGCGTGCCTGTTTAGACGATGGCAGGCTTGACTCCAATGGGGTATTTTTTACGATGATACGACTCGGGATTGTAAGTTAGAAGAATACATAATCACGATAAATACTTATATAGGTCAATAATATATCTCTGCTCTTCTCTTCTCAGTTTGCTCCGTGGTCTGAAGGTACTTGTGTAAGGAGAATCGCCCGGTAACCGCACCGGTCCTACGGTTCGTTGTGGGGAATTACATGATCAGCCCCAGTTTTCGGAGTCCCTCCTTACCCTTACTACCATATACTCTTCACACTTGTACGTCGCACACAATTTCCCACAAACGAGGAAGGCCGTCGGTTTGGAGTACACGAGTACGTTCATAAATTCCCTCAATTGACCCCTCGACTCACAAGATCCAGGCCCTGGCACGATGCAACGTGAAGTGGGGCATACGGACGTCGAGTTCTTGAAGGAGCTGCACAGAGATCTAGCACGAAAATGGAAGCTCCACGGACCTCGTATGCAACAAACATGCCTCACCAGAGCGATCATTGGCAAAAGAATTATGAACTGGGTAAAGATGAGGCGGTGTGAGGATGCCGAGCGATCCCTTTGCCCAAAACGAAAATCTGACCCACACAGCCAATTGGCAGAGTTACAGCAAGTAGTACTCACTTGAAACCCAGCGACCTCATCTTCGCAAAGCCAAGTGTGTGTATGAAGATTCTTTATCGAAACGGTCCATCCCATGTTAGATCCTGGGCCAGTTTGCCTGTCATCTTCTTTTGCAACCACTATCTGGCTGTGGAGTGCACCAAATTACATTATTTTGCAAGGCACTTTAGGATGAAGGGACAATTGCAAATCGTAAACTACGATATTCTGCAATTTATTATGCTCTTTTAGTACCTGGTATCAAGCGGTTTATTGAACTAGTCTTTTTGGCTCTCTCTCTCTCTCTCTCTCTCTCTCTGGATGGTGCAATGTCTCGTTTGTCGGATGCCTGACAGGATGAACCCTACAGAGTGCCGAAAATGGGCTTCCAATTAGTATTAAAGGGAAAAGGAACCAAGGAAAACCGTTTATGTCACATAGACACAGGACGACTACCGTGGGACAATGTCTTTCCGGTGAAGCTAAACTGCACGGGCAATGCACAGGCCTTCGGTCCCCGGCAATTGGACGACCTCTGTTACCCAAGATATCGAGAAGACTACTTTCTCAGAAACAGCCATATGGCAGCATGACATTCCAATGACATTAAAAATAGCACACTGATTGAACCAAATACGCGATTCATGCAGATTCAGTGGGAGATCAAGAATCAAGCGTTAGCTGGGAGCTGAAGAGCGTCGTCTCCCTGGATGCCTTGCTTTTTTCTATGACCCGGGTAATTTGATCACCAACATCCAGGAAACCTTTCCTCTGTTTTGCGTGTTTGAAGCGTGATATCACCCTGGGTATACCCTCTTGCTTTATTTGTGTTCAAGATAGGTAAGCCCCCAGACTTGTCCTAGCAGACCAAATGACTTCGGCGAATTGAATCCAGTTATTTCGGGTGGAAGACTCGATAGAGAGCATTATTCCAAAGGGATTCGGGTCAATGCTTCTATTCAGCCTCCCATCATTTCGGGGGTATCCTACCCGTCAAGCAATAGTCTTTCCCGATGATAATTAACGGATCCGCATCTTCATTGCGAACTCTTGATTACGCATTCATCTTTGAATCAATATTTATCATATTTGGCGCTGAATATGCTTGCGCAATTGTCGTGTGAGCTCATCCTCATTGCGAATAGTTTGGATTCAGACACAGATATCTCTTCTTTTGCTCGAACATCGCGGGTCTTTTACAATCAGGTCATCAATTTCCTTTACAAAATGGCCAAAAAAAAATAGCGAAGGACAGGCAATTCTATGGGCCTGCTCAAAAGGGAAAGAACGGACTGCGGAGCTTGCAATGCAAAATTTTAACACCGATGATACTGATACTCATATACGGATATATGGGCAAGCTCTTTCCCGGGCAAGCGCGAATGGGCATTTGAAATTAGCCGCGATGATCCTTCAAAAAATCGAAACGCTTCTCGTCCATTGGTATCCTTATGACTTTGGTTACTGGGTTGATGTAGCCCTCCAAGATGCTGCGGAACACGGTCACCAGAGTGTTGTCCAGCTCTTAGTGGAGGCAGGCGCAAATATTGAGGTATATAATGAGGACGGCACGCCTCTCATATACGCTGCCGCTGCTGGACATGGGAATGTGGTTGAATATTTGCTCAAGGAAGGAGCAGATGTTCATTGTGCAGATGAATTTGGACGAACCGCTCTCCATGCAGCTGCCAGCAAGGGAGATGTCAACGCGGTCAAAGCCCTGATTGAGTATGGAGCTGAAGTTGATGAAGTGAAGCCTAGGGACGAAGATGGTAACACAGCTCTGTTACTGGCTGCAGCAGAAGGTCACATGGATGTGGTTAAATTTCTGCTGGATAAGGGAGCAAATGCTCACTATATCAATCATTGTGGCGACACTGCGCTCCAACAAGCCAAGATTTATAAGCATGAAAGCGTGGTTAAGCTCCTGGGAGAATGAGAATTGCCATTGCGAGGGAAATTGCATGCTGAAAACTGGAGGAGGCCTTTGTTGGGAGGAGAGTCAAGGATTTCAACTTACTAGCTGACATCCAGCATGTTGTTCAACCTAGCGCTTCACCCAACATTGTAGCATAATCATCTAATTAAATACAATACTATACCATTTATGTCTTCTACACTAGAAAAGTTACGGCCGACCTCATTTGAAAGCGGTGGGCTCAATAAAATACTCACAGCTCTTTACATCCAACCCTCAGTTTTGTTTACCAGGTTCTCTTTACTCACCAATACATGTAGATCACACATGGCATTTTTTGACTATGTCTTAAACCATGATGATTCCACGTGGCTATGCCAGCAAGCGCCCATGATCTTGCTTATGATGCTTTTGGCAAAGAGAGTCTAGCGCATGTGTTACAGACCTTATCCTGTCAGCCTCACGTGACGATGCGGGGAGTTAAGGCAGAATCATTGGGTATGCTCAATGGGATGATCAGTGAGTTAAGCAGGGATCATGGCCTGAGCATTAAGGAAGTACGACATACCTCACGTGACCTGCGGGAGGTATACAGGTATACAAGTCGGGAGTTATACTATTGGTTTTGTATAGGGTATACCAGTATACTTCGGGGATGTTATACTGATATCGTGGAGGATATATAAGGACACTCATTCCTGTACCTAGTCTAGTTCTTCGCGATTGACTTCGTCAATAAAGCATTGGTTACCTTTCTAGTTCAGACTCGTCAGCACTAAACCAACAGCTAAGTATACGTACTTAGTTGGCCTTGTTTCTCTACTTCGTCACCTTATTCGGATTACTTGTTTACGGAGCCTGGCTGGGGCGATATACCAAGCAGCGCATTCTTTACGGAGCCTTACTGGGGCGAGATACCACGCGGCGCATCACGACTCAGACCAGAAGGGTCATTATCGATATAACGACGACGACGAAGGACACTCAGGTGAGTGCCCCAACTGAGACTTAACTAACTAGAACCTTAGGTTACGATACGAAGAGAAGCTAGGTTGTGACAGCATGATCCCAAAGATGGATAGGGCTTCCAGAGTGGCTAGCGTCCAGCTCTCACTGAAAGTTGTGATGTCTCTCTCATTCCTATAATCACCCTGGTGTCCCCTCCCTGCACCCCCAAACCACCGAAATAACAACAGCCGACTATACTACAATCATAGCTTAGCTTAGTCGTTCCTTGAATATCATACAGAAGATGAAGCCGAGAAATCATTCAACTATGCTAAGGATAAATTGCAACCTGGGGTTAGTAAATAGAATGGATGTTTTACTATCCATAGTATCGATATACGAGGCTATTCTTGGCCAGATCGGAGCGGGAGTGCTGGGATCGATCAGGGACATAGATATCCCCAGGACCCCAATGTACGAACTTAAGGCTTATGGGCTTGTTTTACGCTTGTATTAGGAAATTGTAATGTATGTAATTTATATAACCATTTACTGCTTGTAAATAAAACCTGTAAAACAAGCGTTTCATATACGATAAGCCACAAAAGTGGCAGTGCAAACGTCTTGTATTGTGACATGTATGAATAGGTATGTTACAGCGTGTAGAATACAGCCTTGTTCATCTTCTTAGAATGGATCCACATGAGTCCTCAATTTGCCCAAGAATGTGCAGGATCAGTACATCACTAGTTGTTGCAGGGCAAATATTCAAGTGACCACGCACCCAAGATGACAGTATGGATAGACATGGGGAAAAGTGAGAAAACTAAGATGGGCAACTTGTCCGTGCCCATCAGAGTTGTTTGGCCATGTCTGATTATATGTGTGTGGTGAAGATGGTGAACAGCTTTCTATTTGGTCAATGACATCAGCCATATCCATCTCATCACTCATGAAAGCAGTCTTGTTTTGAGCTAGTGAAAAGACTATCCAACTGAGCATGGATGAATGAGTGCTGGAAGTCACCTAAAAGGATGATGCCTATGTCATTGTGACGGTCTGGTCACGTGTATACCTCTCACGTGCTGGAAGCAAGGGATATAAGTCTCGTCAACGCTGATGGCACATCATTCTTCTTCTTCTTTCCTCATGTTGATTATTCTCGTCGATAGCTACCTAGGTAGAGCACATGAGTTGATGTTCCATTATCCTGGCTGAGCTCCGTGACACCCTTTGGACCCAGACCCGTAGCGGGCCAAGGACCCTTGACCCAAAGCCCAGCCCGTTGGGCTTTGGGGCGGGTTCGGGGCGGGTTTCCGGGTCGTCCGGTGACACTCTACCTTGCTGTCAGTGAGCATAGGAGGGTCTGGGATCTTGGTCGTCTTGTGAGCAGTAGGCACTGAGGCATGGGTTGGAATTGCTTCTGGAGTGCTGCCTCGCACCAGCATCTTTGCTAGCTGATTAGCATAGAGGTGCCAGTCTTCCACAACTTCTTCCATTCTTTTTGCCAACTCAGCCTTCTTAAGACGAAGGTCTTTCAAATCATCTTCTAAGGATACAATCTGGGTATCCTGATCCAGCAGCTCTCCAGCGCTCTTCTGGTATACCTCTTAAGAGTTTTGTATACAGCGCTCGGGGGTTCGCTCCATACTGCTGAGCAAACTCATCATAGCTCAGTTCATGGAGATCATCATCATCCTCTATATAAATGGAGGATCGTTGGTTTGGGGAAGGGATATCACTAACTCAAGCCATTTTGTCAGGATCTTCGTATCGTTCGGTTCATTTCAACTGACGTGGTAGTCAATTATCAGGTTTAGTATCAGCTACACCTGCAGCTTATCAGTTCGGAGTCAAAGTCGGCGTGGCAATCAGCCAGGCAGTCGGGTTATCAGTATTGTATCAATCAATCAATCAATTGGTCGGTGGTTGGGGACGCGCTACTATGGTTCCACGATCAGGGGATTGAACCAATAGAGTAGGTGTAAGGAAAGGATAGGTGTGACGGCTCACACATGATAGCTCACATATAACGACCCAACACCGCGTCAACGGATGATACATCACAAATGCCGCTATACAACCCCTATAAAAACCTCTTCATTATCCAGATAGATTTCCCTTTTTTTCCTTTTCTTCTCCAGATTCGAGATTCTCGTCGATGGCTACAATAGTTTAGATAGGAACTTTGATTCAATATTATCTACTACTCCGAGCCCGTGACAATAGGCAAGACTTGATATTATGTCACAGGCTCAGAATAGTAGATATTAATGAACTTAATTCCTATCTAAACTATTGTAGCCATCAACAAGAATATCGAGTCTGGAGAAAGAAAAGAAGAGGACGCCTATCTAGAGGATGAAGGGGTTTCTTATGACCGCCACACAGCAGGGTTCTACCCATGTCAGTGTCATCCGTCCGTCATTATTAGTCTTATACGTAGTGTCGAGCCGTATGGGCGACGTCAGGCTGTATATGCGACGTCAAGCTGTATACACAATGTCAAGATGTCAAACCGTCACAGGCAACGGTATCATTTGATCAAGCCATACTGGTCAGGATCTCTTGTATTCGTCAGTTATCGGTATCAGCTTGATTCAATCAGTCGGTCAGGGGACACGCTACTATGGTTCCACTATCAGGGGATTGAACCAATAGAGTAGATGTGTGGAAAAGAAAAGAGTGAGATTTGATATTATGTCACGGGCTCAGAATAACTAGTTAGTAGATAATGAGGGTGCCGGTGACAAAGGTATGATATCCCGCCTTCTGTCAAATCACTCATTATTCTAACTGTTTAGGTTGAATACGGCAAGCCATATGTCATGAGGAGCGCTGCAACGGATCTCTATCTCTCTTTTGAATACGGCAAGCAAGATTTCATAGGCCCTGCAGCATCTTTCATTAGTCGTGAAAACGTCGAGCCGATAATTCACCTTGTTATGAGACCGGAGCGCCCGGATGGATCGAATTTGAATTGGTATGTGTTTCTTCGAGGACAGGGTGGAAAAACGAATGGGGAGGTTGATCAGAATGATTCTGTGACTCTTCGTATAAACCAAATGACTGGTTCAGATTCATTGATTGTGACTTCATCTGGTGCACTTCTGCAGACCAATAAAAATGCGAGGGATGTTGCGGAGAAACCGTTTAAATTGATGTACCAGGATAAGGAACCAAAATAAAGGGATACGCGAGGACAAGCATAATCGGGGCACAGTCAAGGTGGAAATGGCCCAAGAATGCATCAGGGAGGGATTCATGATATGTATATCAGTATATAAGTAGTGAGATACAAATGTGAGATCATGAACTGGTCAACTGGGATGGAAGTATTCTCCGGATATGGATTAGGTCATGTCATAATCCAGTAACTTCTAGACACTGCCAGCTTCGACGATGAAGTGGCTTCTCGTCACCAGATTTGTCCGGAGCAAAATTTGAGAGAGTCAGCCGCCAACTCCGCTGACTATGGCCTCTGTTTCAAGTAGTCGGACTATCAGGAGTAATCAGCAAACTACTAACTTGGGCGTGCAAATAGAAAAAGCCTTACAAAGATTTTACTTCTCGACATTTCTCTGATACCTTGCAAATTACCCTCTGTCCATCCTCTCCCCCTTGCTTAGCTTGAGGAACGAGAATGTGTTGACTTCAATATATGCTGAAGGTTGATTAAAACGCTTGCTGCTCCGACTGGCCAATCAGAACCCGACTTTTCCCACCTATCTACGACGTACTTCTTGACAATGCATAATGATATCCACGGCGGATATAATTAAGAGATGATAGGATCGGGGGACTACGGCTATGCAGCCAGCATCCTTTTACTATGGCCGCCAGATTGTTTATAAATAGGCCTTATGATAGATAGTTTTCTCAATCAGAGTTCTTCCTCTATTCACTCTGAATAGTGCCTATGACATCCTTCCGAGCATAGTAGTTGACAGTACTTCTTTCTGTCTTTCTTGTTCGCGTTCTTGCCCTTTTGTTTCAAACTGATATGCTCAATTTGTGACGGACTGATTACACGCATACCTCTCATGTGCTCGGAGCGGGGTTATATGACATGTCAATGCTGGTGGCATCCTTTCTCCCTTCTCTCCTCATGTTGATTATTCTCATCGATAGCTACCTAGGTAGAACCCATGAGAAGGAAGTTCCATTATCCTAGCTGAGCCCCGTGACACAATTTGCTGTTTGTGACGGCTTGACATCTTGACGTCGTGTATACGGCTTGACGTCGCCCATACGGCTCGAGACTACGTATAAGACTAATAATGACAGACGACACCGACATGAGTAGAACCCTGCCGTACGGCGGTTATAAGAAACCCCTTCATCCTCTAGATAGGTGTCTTCTTCTTTTCTTTCTCCAGACTCGATATTCTCGTTGATGGCTACAATAGTTCAGATAGGAATTCAGTTTGTTAATATCTACTATTCCGAGCCCGTGACACATTTCAGATTTCCAACTACTCTCTACTCTTTGCCTTCAGCGCAAGGAACTGATACCTGTGATGTTGTCAACGAAAGTCTCAGCGATAAAATACCTCTATATAAGTATTAAGTATGGTCCAAGCTGAAAATACAAATGTTTCTTGATGCAATCTATCCAATCTACCCAGCAGATTATTTCTCCGCCAGCGCCTGCTTCCAGCAGCTGGAAATCTTATTCCAATACTGTTCAGGATGCAGCCTCATATGTCCGACATGCGAAGAGCCTTCAAACATCTCCAGCTCGACCGGGTAACCCAAAGTCTTGGCCTGCGCTACATTCTCCTCCAAATCCTTCCATCCAATAATCTCATCTTCCTTCGAGTACAAGTAAAGCCTGCTAGATTCGGTCGAGACAATTGACTCATCATTCATCACCCGGTTCGCCCAAACACCTGAGGGCTCCGAGCCACGCAGGTATTCCCAGGCCCAATTCGCCCAGAGGAAGGCATACCATAGACCCTGCGTGATGATGAACGGCCAAGGGAAGAACTTTGCCGTCCCCACCGCCATCGCGTGTGACCAGCGGCCAACCTGAGACGCGAAGTCAAGACTTCCGGGTGTGGAATCAAAAACAAGGAGCTTGTGAGGAAATTTCTTGTCCATGCTGTGGCGTCGCTGATACCCGATGACGACAGCGGTAGCGAAGATCGCGCCTGTATTTGACATGGCATGCACAAGGATGCGCTCTTCATCGCCGCCGCTGCCCGTTGGGGTTGGGAAGATCGTGTCAACAACCGGCATCATGGCTTCGATTCTAGCTTCCTCGGGTTGGTTTGTAGCCTGGAAGGTGCGCGACAGGATCACGATGATCCGGGCAGATGGGAAGAGCTCATGGTAGCCGTCAGAATACTTGGAGACGTTTTTTGGCATGCCGTCACCCCAGCCAGAAATGATGATGGTTGTTGGCTCGTCAGCTGGGGCTGGCTTGGCTTTCTCGTGGCCATTGCGAATGTATACCCGATCAGATATCGGGGTGAAGCCTGGGAATGGAATTGACTGTGGAGCCATTGTGCAGGTGTGGGTTCTGGAGTTACTGGGACTTTTGCAAAGGGGTGAATAGCGTCAAATTAGCCTCAATCCAAAAACGCGGAAGGTGGTTGAAGTGTTTCATTGTTTGTTCTAGAGACATGCCAACGTTCTTAAAAAGAAAATCTCTGTTGGTGGCTAGCCCCCCGATGTGGAAATTCTCCCGGAGCATCAGATACAGCATTGATTAACAGCAAAATGGTTGGGAACTGCTTCATCTCCAGCACCAATCTTTTCACAGCAAGTGGGTCATTGGGAAGAATCACAAGGGCTTGGCGAATGAAGTCTTCGAGCCGTGATTTGTATGTTTTACATACCTCGGCATTTTCCTTATTCGGTTTATTCATCAGGTTTTAAGGCCTCAGGCATTAACTAGTATTCTAAGGCAAGAATGCTAACGTAATCTACCTGTAGAGCGGTACAGTCGGGTCTGCAGATAATCCGGCAGCGATGCTATCGGATCCGAGGATCGAGAGAGAAAGAGAGACTGCTATGAAGCTATATGGACAAATGGAGTTGTACTATGGAACAATCTGGTTATTGTACAGGATCCTGATCGGTATGAAGAACCGGAATCAGGGAAAAATGCTCTTATCTAAAGAGTGTGGTGGAGCTCGCGAGCGATCCAATAATAGTAGGTGATGGTGAATGCTGACACCTCAGGCATCTGCCAGGTTTGACACTACCACCGAGTTCTTAACTAAAAATCGCGTTTAGTATGGTGTTTTGGGGTGCGCCGCTCGGTGGTGGATTACGTTAGTATCCAGTCAGGGCGATAACTAGTTAAGTCATTGCCAATAACCAACCAACATGTAACGTAGTCGCGCCCCTATCAGTGGCGACCCGATCCCGCGATCAGTTAAAGACGTCCAGACCACAGTTGGGCGAGTTTTCAATGCGAGCATTTCCATAGTCGTTGATCAGCCTTTACTACCGAAAGCATTCGGAAGATTCGGTCGCTTTTCTCGCAATTTGGATATGCTCACGACGACCAACACAACACAATGCTGCGAAGAAGAAAAGACTGCGGACTTCTGGCAACATTCTAACCCATGATTCACAATTGGCGGCAGATGGAATGGTCCAAAAGAGTAGGTTTCCCGTCAATATCTCTCTTTGGGCTGACTTGTCGGCTTGTATATATATATAATGAACTCCCCACGGCACCACTCAAGTGCGAAACAAGTCAACAAAGCAACAGAGAATAAAGGAAGCCTCAAAGAGAGTATCAGGTATTCTTAGCTCTGCATATTTCAATATTAACTATGAGCCTTGATGTTTTTAGAACAGCCCGCTACTTTGAATTTCTTCTTATTTTTGAGGATGTGAACTGGTGATCAACGGAAAGCTAGTCCATACTCAAACGAATGCATGCCAATTTCCGATGTTACCACAATCATAGGCTAGCAACGGCTTCAAAGTGTTGTGGGGGGTTTCAACATTTGCTGAGAAATCAGAATAAATAGCTTATTTAACACGATGTTGAGGGTAACAAATATATCGAACAGGAGGATGATATACTTGATGGCCAAGAACTCTTGAAGCTTAGTTTTGGGAGGGCAAGAAGGCTTTAAAAGTCTAAGAGAGGCAATGCAGCCCTCATGTGTTTGCGGTCTTACTAGCATTCCATTCTCACCGATGCGCTTCACGGGTCGGACCAGTCCAAAACTGATGGCGCATTCAAGTTGCATTAGTATTCTAGGCCATATCGAGTCCATAAATACCGAAGCCGAGGCCTACTGAACTATCTTCCAGTACCTGTCCTCCCACATCAGTGTACACGTTGCGAGATTGGAGACATTTCGCGACCCGTGGAATGAACTCAAAGAACAGTACCAGCGAATGGAACTCGCCACATTTTGCGAACTGTTTGCCCAGCTTCGCCAAATAACAGACATCCGTTGCGCCGGCGCATGTGAATTTGTTGACCATGTACGTTTGCTCGTACATCGACTGAATGCAATTGCCTCGGGCTCAATCGGCGACAAGGCTCACATTGCGATCTTGTTGACGCCAGATCAGACCGGAATACATCCCGATTGTGGATGCTATCTAAAATGACAAAGATCTGGTCAATCAGACAACAATTGGAAACCGTCTGGCTAATGCCGAACAGACGGTCCGGAGAAAGGAGTCACCAGTACCTAGCATTCAGTCCGGCCATCAACACAGTGCAGTCGACCGGAAAGAAATGCTACCACAGCAAAAGGCGAGGCCACGTGCTCGCCAAGTGTTGGGAGAAACACCCTGACTTACGTTCGTGGAGGGACTATGTCATCAAGGCAGAACGGAGTGCTTCCGGCTCACCAAGAAAACCAATGCAAATCATAACATCAGACCAGATACAAGAATTGCAGGGTCCGCCGACTTCCAAGAGACCGAGTATCAATATTGTGAGGGCGAGGGTGACGACCCTTTATAACCACACCCTGCAACCCCAGTGGATACTGGACTCGGCCGTCACTAGTCACATCTGCTGGGACCGGAGATGCTTCAGCAGTCTGCGGCCCCACCACGAGATGTTGGACACGGCGGACGATCCAGTGAAAGCCGAAGGGATCGTAACAGTGAAGCTTACGCTCCTAGGGGAGTTTAACCAACCTCTGGTGTTAAAGAATGTTTATTTTGCTCTACGCATCGGGATGAGTCTGATCAGCGTGCCGAAATTATCGCGAGACCGCCACTCGGCGGAGGTGCATCTACAGAACGTCTTAGTGCAATGCCGAGGACGGACGGTGGGAACCGCCTACCGTGCGGAGGAGGATCTGTTGATCCTGCGGTGCCACCTGGGCCAAAGATCCCGAGAACGAGTCCAACTGGCGAGGTCACTGACGTATCATGTCCATGCAGATTTCCTGCAGCCACAGGCGGTGGACATGGACGTCGACGACCCTCCGGAGTCAAGTGGTGCGCAACGCGCGACCACCTCTGAACCCGACGGTGAAGTTGTGATACTCGAAGAAGATGCATGCATAGGAGTGAACCAGGCCACTGAAGCGCTGTGGCACGCTCTGTTGGGACATCTGAATCAAGGAGACGTGAGGGTAATCCTTCGTCAGACCGGCACTCCGTACCGACCATTGACCAGGATGGAACTGCAGGCAACGCCGTAGTGCCCGGCCTGCATGTAGGGTAAGCAGCATCGGAAGAGGAACTCCCATGCAAGATCACCACATATGCACTCGTCGAGAATATTTGACATGATTCATTCGGACATTATGAAAATGCCAATCACCAAAGATGGCTCCAGGTACGTCATCACCTTCACTGACGATCATTCTCATGGCTCGTGGGCATATGCCATATGATGGAAGCATGAAGCGCTCCAGAAGTTCCGACAATTTGAGGTCTGAGTGCATCAACAGTTGGGTGCCCAGATGAAACGATTATTCACCAACAATGGGAGAGAATATCTGCCTATCGGAACACATCTCGAGTCCCAGGGAGTTGAGTTTGATACCTCAGCACCGTACTGCAAAGGACAGAACAGACTGGCGGAACGCACGAACCGCACTATCTAGGAGCAGATCAACACGCTCCTGTCCGATGCGAAACTTCCTCCTTGGTGGACCGAGATTCTTGACGCAGTGGTCTATCTGAAGTTATTTTCTCCCGCCCTGATTGGTTGTCTAACGGGATCTTAAGATAGCACGCAGGAAAAGCTGCCAAAGATTCGGATCGGATGGTTCTTAATTAATTAATTACCCGGGGGATTGCGGATTCTCGGCTGTTTGGCGCGGGTCTTGATGGCCGATTTCTGGGCATTTTCAGGGTCCGAGCCCATAAAACAACTACTCGTAGTAATACATGAGAAGTAGTTGGAATGAGTTGCTACATGTAGGGAGGTTGAGGGGGTGGTCTTGAAACACGATTGGTCTTGTTTGCAGAAGGCAGCAGGCAAATGCTAACATATTCATCACGGGTTCAAGGGTTGGTTGGCATGTTTAGTATGTATTCCGTACAGCAGAAGCCGATGCGATGCACAGGGCCCGGGCACACTGCCAAGGAAGATATAGGGGACACAAACCATGACAAGATTTGGAGACTGCCGCGATCTAGAGACTATAACCGGGGCCTTGGCCTATTCGTCTTCATCTCTGTCATCTCCCCAATCCCTGTAAGGGCTCTGCTTACTAAAAAGTCAATATAAAGCAGGTTTGTGAGGCTGAGGCTATGAAGAAAACGTGGCACAGCCTTGCAGACCAGGGACATGACCGTATAAGCTGACATCAATTTCTTCAACTGTCAATACTCGATCAAAGAATATTTAGGGGGGCTCGAGTTATAGCACACGAAGAAATGGAAATGACACAGTTAAGACCAAACCGGGATTCATCTATGGAGACGGAAGAAGACATCAGCATTCCCCCATCTGGCGATGAAGAAGAGGCCGATCAAATAAAGTCCTCTAAGCAAATCAAACCACTAGCCAGCAAAATCAATGACTATTGGATCTGGGAAATTGCATCATATACCGGCAGTCTTATCGCTATGGTCGCCATAGTCTTCGTGCTCCTGGAGTACAACGGCAAGTCCCTCCCCGACTGGCCGTATGGAATCACCATCAACTCGGTTCTCTCATGGATCAGCCAAATCTTTACAACCTGTATGATAGGAGCAGTGACATCCTGTCTCAGTCAGTTCAAATGGATCCATTTCAATGAGGGAGACAGATCACTCGTGGATATGAACATGTATGACTAGGCCAGCAGAGGGCCGTTGGGCTGCACAGTATTTTTGTGGAGTTTGAGAATGAGGTGAGTCTTTCTAGCCGGAATATATCGGATGTGCTTTGAATATAACTAGTCTTTTAGACGATACGCTGCAATTGGGGCCATGTTCACGGTTCTGTCCATTGGTGTAGGGTCTTTCGTGCAACAGATGGCCACCATCTAAAACAACCGCGTCCCCAATGATGTCCCAGCATTCACAGCACGGGCAGAATCATTTGACGATGTAGCAAGTGGGGATGGGTTTGTGCCAATAGTAGATATACAGAATGTCATCTACAATGCCCTTCTTTCTGCCTTGAGCACTACTGAAGTAGGCTCAGGATCATTTCATCCTTCCATCGAGCCAGACTGCCCAACTAGAGACTGCGATATTGCATCATTTCAATCGTTAACTGTCTGCTCCGGGTGCAGTGATATTACTCACTTGCTGTCATTTAGAGAAGAAAGGGTCCCGTGCGACCCACAAATGACAAAGTACAGCCATTCTCTCCCCAATGGGTTGCATCTCGACTTTACCTCTCTTGCAAGATACAGTGGGAGAGAAGGCTGGCACGCTAACATAAACACCAAATCTGACTGTGGTTCTGAAGCAGCAGAAGCACCACCAACTCTGTCTGGCATTAAAGACTTTAGACCAAGTGCTTTCATGAATATGACGACTATAACTCATTCTGGGGGAGGGCGGTCTAATACCACTGCAGCCCATTGCTCGTTTTACTGGTGTGTCAACACCTATTCAGCAAGCATATGCAATCACACCATGCACGAGTCTTTGCTGGACACATATCATGATAAAACGGCTCAATATGGCTATGCCTCTGGCAACAACCGAAATCTTGTCCTTCGGCCTTCAGAGAACGACAACCTTACGGCCTCCAACTTTAGTGTTGACTGGTCTAGCGCCAGTGGTCTTTTAGAGTGGCTAGCGAACAGGTTCCAATTCAATAATACTGAAATCCCACACTGCCTTGACAATGGTACGAGTCCTACTTTATGGTCAGAGCACAGTGATCTCCTCCGCCCTATTAAGGAACATCATCTTCGCGACCTCTTCGTCAGGATTGCGACGGGCATGACTGCGTATATCCAGAGAACAAATAACCTAGTTGCCCATCAGGAGCCAATATACAGTCTGATCATCTCCGTAGAATTCGTGAACGTGTATAGTCAAAACTCGTTTTCCATACATGCAGCCGCGCCCGTGCAGCATTCTGATAAGGAATAACGTCGGACTGACTAGACGAGTTCCGACTGGCCGATATAGGCCAGCGTGTACGCGCAATTAGATAGACAAGCACTCAAGCACTTGTGTACACGCATATAGACGAGAATATATCAATCTCTTCGTTTGGACTAGACTTCTCCATATACGACCTCGCTAGTCGCGGATAATCGACATCTCCGAATGCAATTCTACTCACGAGGACGAAGACAATCAACTACATCAAGGTAAGCACTAGTTAATAGACTAGCCAGTTATCAATTAGTTACTAACTTATTCTTCTAAGTTCTTTGAATGCTGAACCATCTCTTCGGCAGATAGCCTCAGAGAATAATGCTGATATAGCCTATCAGCAAAGAGGAAGAGAGCTTGAGCTACAGCGTCAAGAGGCTGAGATAGAGCATCTTCGGGTTGTTACTCAACTGATGGTTCAGGGAATAATGCCGCCAAATTTAATACCTAACCAGTTACTAACTGGTTCTCAACCAGTCACCAACCAGCTATCAATCACACCCTCTTCTACCCAAGATCATCTACAGATATCAGCTAATGAACAGTTGAGTATTGAACTAGAGAGATCCATGTCACCATCTGTCACTGATACACTAAGAGAGGATCAGGGCAGTGAATAGATGTTTGGTAACTAGTTAGCAACCAGTTCGCAACTAGTTTGTGCTTAGTTAGAATATTAATATTTATCTTATTCTCATTTATACTTACAATTGATTTATTTATAAAATAGAGATAATAAAAGATCACTATATAACTAATGCATGACAATGAAGCGTTTCTGTCACTAGCACTGCGCACTCTGAACTTATTCGTCAGGTGTTTCTGTACACATATGCCGCAGGATCTCTATGCTCTAATCTCAAGAGTCACTTGCCTTGCCTTGATTTATTTCTTGTCGTATCATTTTATACTGTACTCAATCGGATTCAAACAACGGGAGTTTTATCTGAGTTTGCGTCAACTTACGTTCTCAACCATTGGGAATTGCGGCTCACCTGCAAGTTAGAGAAGGTTGTGCTGTTTGCGTATCCAGAACTCTGATGCAAGGAGACAATAATGAAGTCAAAGCGGAGCTGGTGGATGCCGCTGTGTTTGGAGGTCGTTCATTCGAACAAGGCAACCAATTGTAGTATTGTAGAGACATGAATATAGTGATTGTCACGGGCTCGGAATAGTAGATACTAACGAACTGAATACCTATCTAAACTATTGTAGCCATCGATGATAATATCGAATCTGGAGACGAAGAAAAAGAGGAAATCATCTTGTCAGCAGAGTGAAACTCTGGATTGAAATAAATGGATTTGGCCTGAGAAAAAAAGGGCACTAAAGATATCGTTTGATTGGACAACACTACAGTATTCTTTAAGTTACTTGACAGAGTAGTAAAGGCAGATCTCTTAGGACAGGACACAGCCTTCCTTAAATTCAGGTTAAGAACACCGACACCATCTGACTTGCCTCCAACTTCTGCCAACCACTGGGTTTATCAAACGCCACACAGCTCGATTGAAACGGTTTCGCAGTCTACATTCATCAAGACCCGTATCTCTAGACACCAGAGCAGCTCTTCAATACCAATATATACTGCAGTTGACCAACTTGCAAGAGGGACACAAGCATTAGCCCATACTATTACCTTTTTAAGTGCACGAGTCCATTCATTAGAGAAGGCGAATCAGGAACTCAGCAAGCGCCGACGAGCAAAAAAGAACCGTCCTACAACATGAAGGGGTACTTTCTGTAGAAGATGGACAAGGTTTGATTAACCAGAAGGATATTGATGCACAACTGGAGCATGAAATACGCGAGGAGAGTAGTCAGAAAATAGAGACTGAGCCAACTCTGCGGCACTGTACCAGGTGCGGAAAGATTGGTCATAACTCTAGGACTTGCAAGTAAGATGAAAGAATGGTCTATTATATATACCCATAATTAAATTTAATTGATTACTGGTAATCTAGTGGTGCAATTGATGTTTGAATGTGAGGATCCGAAAAAAGTGCGCCGTTTGCTTATCCGCGCCGCTCGCTTATCAACTACGTTATATATTATTTCAGGCGGTTTCTAGTGATTGGGGTGCCCGCGGGCGCCCTAAAAAAGCAATATGGCGAGATCTACTATTTGCACAGGCTCGATGGCGAGCTTATGAGGATCGATTAAAGTGGCAAAGTGGCAAGATGATTGTATCATTGGACATTGTCATCAATTCGGCTCGTGCCATAGTAATTATCAGAAGCTCAAAATGGCGGATGGATACTAATAAATCAATATTCCTATCTAAACTGTTGTAGCCATCGACGAGAATATCGATCCTGGAGAAGAGAAGAGAAAAGGAAATCTATCTACAGTAAAAGGGGCTTTTGTCTAAATGTTGTGTTAGCCGCGCTAAATGCTTTCTTTGTTTGTTCAGATGGCGGCGTTTGTCGACATCAGCCACTGGGGCGTTGAGCCGCCACACTAGGTATGTGCACCCATGGAGTGGGTTCCTTTGAAAATTAATCCAAGATATTTTCGACTATGGAAATAAGTTGCGTCAACTTAAACCAACATAAGAAGTAAGCGGCAACCATTGGCCACAATACCTGAAGTATTTATGCCTCTAAATTGTGCGAGGTATCACTTCGATATTCTTGAAATGCTAATTTTCCTGTATGATTAAGGTAAATTGAATATCTTTATTAAGATCCATACCTACATCGCTATTTCTTCTATTAGTTCTCTGTAAGCCTCACGTGCCCAATATTAGCAACATTCTGGCCTAACCATGCTTGAGTACCTGCCTAACCCCATAATATCAACAATCAGCTAACACAATCCAATGGACCATTATCATAGATAAAAAGAAGATCAAGATACAAAAAAATGAAAATACAAACCTTCTTTCCCCTAGTCCTGGTCCTAACGAGTCCCGTCCTTGCCGGCCCAGCAGCCTATGGTGTCTGCCAATCAGGATGCGCGTCTGTGGTTATGGCCTGCTACTCTGCTGCAGGTTTTACCTGGGGAGCGACTATGGGAGCTTCTGCGCCTGCTTCCATTGTGGCTTGTAATACAGCGTATGGAACATGTCAGGCAGCTTGTGCTGCTACAATCTTGGGTCCAACGCCTTAAAGTTGGATTGTTGTCTTGGTTTGTTTATTTGGCGAAAATGTGGAGATTTGCTGTATTGTAAGCAATTGCCGAATTCATTGAGTTCCATCTTGCCTTTCTCTGTTTCCTAGCGGCGGGGTGAAAGTGAAAATTTTTGGGTTGATCTATTGCGTCGATTGGCGGCGCACTGTGTTGTTTCATTGCAGAGCAATTGTGAGCTGGACAGGTTATTATATTCACGTTCATGCCGCATTCTCAACTGATAGTAATGCTGAACCAACGTCTTTTACCCAATGTATGATAAAATTACTGCGGTCTAAGCGGTTCGACCTGAGTGGCCTGACTGATATCGATTTGGTGTGGACTGGACATGCGCGTTTTGACGCATGAAATTACTGATCGACGAGGATTAACCAAGATAGAGCTCTACACAGCACATAAATAAGTTCCGTTGTCCTCTGGGCACTCATCATCTTGTTCATATCTCGATACCCTGGTTTAGAGCCAATACTGATATACCAAACACAACAATAGATATTCTTCAACGCCTCCTTAGCCTTTTTTGCCCTGTTCACGGATAGCATCATCGCGGCTGTGCTGGTCTGGGCGATGTCTTCGAGGCACCATCAATTCAATGAGAACCCAGCTGCCCGGCAGCTTCGGTTGAATGCCTCGGTTATAAATGCCCACCAAAGAATCGGGCGACTCAATGGACAAACTTAGCATCATTCCCAGAAGTCCCTAATGACTTTTTTTCCAACCATTTAGTTGCAACACCATTTGATTGCGGACCTCTTCAGTGTCACAGTCCCACATGTCAGCTTTAGGGACTTTCTTGGGTAAATCCAGCATTTTAAGTTGGTTTGTCAGTATATAGACCGGTTTTGCTGTTCATATAAATTCCAGAAGGCAAGTGCGTTGACACGCAGCATTGTGTAATTTTATTTCAAGTGCTTCTTCTTTTCCTTGAGCGTCTATGTGTGACGGCTCAACGACCAGGCAAACAGTGCCAACATGCCAAAAGATGCCATACAAGCAATATGGACAAACAAGGGCT